TATGGGCCCATGTGTGTGCCCTGTGGTGGCCTCCAGCTCACAGGTCTGCCAAGCCCCACTCAAAAAGAAGCCAGTGCAACCATCTGTGCAGGAGGGAGCAACAGGGAAGGAGGAAGAGTGAATAGAAAAGCCACTGGTGTGCAAGACACAAGCATTGCCATCTTGTTGTGCACCTAGTTTTACTGTTTGGCTTTATTGTCTCTCTTGTCAAATTGAGAGTAAGCGTCTGGTAAATAAAGAGTTGAGGAGGAGCAGTAGATTTGGCTGAGAGGGCGAGTGCGGGAGCTTTTACTTGCTTGTGTCTTTTGCTGTCTCTGTAATTTAGGGAGTAGGAAGATTATTCAGATGAGTTCTGCTGCAATGCTTATTTCAATGCACATAAAGCTGTGCTGAAGACTGATTAAAGGTTTTATGCAAGATTGATAATTGTTTATAAATGGCTTCAAGCTCCTGCAGAATTACAAAATGAGAATAAAAAGAGAAATATTCATTTTAACCTCTAACTGATAGACATGCAAAAAAAAAACATGCATGAATCTTGTACTGTTGGGCCTGCTGGGGGGTTCTAGAAAGTTCATCTAAAAACAACAGCTGCATGTTCAAAATAGATGGGTGGACACAAACAGCTACCTTATAAATAAATGTGGCAGAGTTAAATCTACAGTACATATAAAAGGGAATGTATCAAGACACAAATATGGAATACCCTAAGCTTTTTCTTAAAGGAGAATTCCGGTTTTTAACACTTTTAGCCCATTTTCTGTAGTGTCCAGGATGAAATCGAATGATCGACACCAAAATTTTGACAATTGGTCCTGTCTCTGCTTTTTGGCTCATTTAGAATCCACCCCTGGCTGCTTCAGAATGGCTTCCATTGTGCATGTCCGATAATGTCCTTAAAACAACCTTAAACGTTCTTTTTTTTAAATATGCTACTCACCGGGTCGTCAGCGCTGTTCAATGACGTTCCAAAAAAGTTTCGTAAAGAAAAAACGTTCCTGTAGTGTTTTATTTAGCATTTTGTAAATCCCATTGAGTTCTGTTGGAATAGTCAATATTCCCCTGCCACCGGAAACGGAAATGGGGCCTGTTTACACAGTTGTAGTCTTTTCGCTTCACTCTGTGTACTCCGACGTCGAGGTGCTAACGTCTCTGTTAAACACTTTAAAAAACTCTGAAAATGGAATACGAAAGGTGGATTCTTGATTCTCGACGTCGGAGTACACAGAGTGAAGCGAAAAGACTACAACTGTGTAAACAGGCCCCATTTCCGTTTCCGGTGGCAGGGGAATATTGACTATTCCAACAGAACTCAATGGGATTTACAAAATGCTAAAAAAAACACTACAGGAACGTTTTTTCTTTACGAAACTTTTTTTGGAACGTCATTGAACAGCGCTGACGACCCGGTGAGTAGCATATTTAAAAAAAAGAACGTTTAAGGTTGTTTTAAGGACATTATCGGACATGCATTATGGAAGCCATTCTGAAGCAGCCAGGGGTGGATTCTAAATGAGCCAAAAAGCAGAGACAGGACCAATTGTCAAAATTTTGGTGTCGATCATTCGATTTCATCCTGGACACTACAGAAAATTGGCTAAAAGTGTTAAAAATCGGAATTCTCCTTTAATCATTTTTTTCCAATTGTATGTTTCCATGATCTGGAAGCATATTAATAATACAAACAATAGAAAAATATTAATGGTAAAACACCATACATACAGTGGTAACAATGATGAATAGTCTGTAATACTGTGGATATTTCTCTTCTGAAGTCCCTAGTAACCTTTTGGGGATGATTTAGTAACAATCTAGCAGAATCCACCAGTAAAAAATTGTTTTTACAGCAGAAGACTCAGCACACATTGACAAAACATGTCGTATTATGTACAAACAGCTAAGATGTTGTGGATGCAGGCATTTTACGCACAGAAATGTAATAGGATTTAAGTTTGCATTTTTTTTCTTTTTACAATTTGCAAAGTCAAACTACAAATAACGACCAACACTCAGCACTTTGCAGCTCATTCTTTCTCCACTCACCAACCATCAATACCAACACACCTTTAGACACATTAACAGTTTCAGCTCTGTATTGACCTCTGATAATGTCTCAAAGGCTTAGCAGTGGTGGAGAATGGTACAAAATGAATAAAGTATACAAAGAGCACTGTATGGCTCAAAATGCCTTGCTCATGTAATAGATCAGAGGAGAAAGAACAGCATGGCTGAAAAGAAAAGCAAGAGTTGCTCAAATCACCACCTATTTCAGCCAGGGTATTCAGAATAACACCTCTGAATGCACAGCATAAGCTCTAATGAGAAAAAGCAGTAGAAAAGCAAAGGAATGTTTTCTTTTCATTATTGGATCCCTTAGGAACAACAGAGCATCATCTGCCAGAGTATGATATCTAGCCATAAACATCCCCTTATGGTCACGGTCCTCCCATCTTCTGATGGCTGTTTAAGCAGGATAATGCACCATACCATAAAGCTGTAAACATGACAATTAGTCAGCAGATCTTAATCTTTGGATGGGTTTGATTTGGGGATTCCCATCACCTGCAAAAGCAGCTCCCCTCAGCAATAACCAAAGCTGGGGAGAGCACCCGAAACAACTATTATAGTAAAAGTAACACATCTTCATAACTGATTAAGTAGGAGTAAAAGGTATAAGGCTAAAATGTTACTGAGTAACTCATAATAACATCCAACTTTATATTTAAAATTATATAATAAGTAATTATGTAGCAGTAAATATAAAGTTATGTGCAGATTATGGTCTTTTAAGGACCATAATAGAATAGCTTAAGAAAAAATAAAACCAGGCATAAAAAAAGACTTTTTAAAGTCAAATTTCTTTTGAACAAAATGTTACAAATCCTTAATATATGTAAAATATACAGGTGTTAAATACCTCTATTGGCAATATATACTCCCTATTACATATTAACTTGACCTCCAGATATCATGGTATCGTCACAAGATGTATGGCAAACTTATGCACAAAGATGGAACACTCATTTTAACATAAACAATTGTCCTTTTGTGGACAGTTTTTGTGTCAAATCAACTTGTATATTATTAACTGAAGTTAGTCTATGTTGAAATTGCAAAACAATGCTACCTAAATCAGATTTTTTGCCCTATATCTGACTTTTTCACTGCAACAAAAATGGTTTTGATCTTTTTACCCCCTAATTAAATCTGGATTGTTCCATATTTTATATTTAATTGGATGCATATCCAATAGTTTTTACAGTGTCTGCAGTCTAAACGGTCATGTTGTACTTCATTGGACAATGACATTATCATCCAGGCTCTGACTACTCATTCATATACGTACACTATTTACTTAGTTGCTCCTCCACAAACACACAACATACATAGTTCTGCTCTTGTTGCTTGTTTTGATGTGATCTTAATATTATTGACTCCCATAGTTCAAAAACTGTTGATAACCCACATATTCTGCTATCTGTTGTTACTTCTGTAAACGGTGCATTGCCTCGTGGCATTGGGACTGTGAAACATTCAGACTGGAGTTTAATGGTGCCTGCATTGAAGTAGTAGTCTGAAAAACCATGGAGGATCAAATTGGATTTTAGAGAAAAATTTTAACTGATTATCAAGATATGAGGCGTGAATGTAACCTTACTTGCTGTGGATAGAGTAGCTAAACCTTTGCCTCAAGTAAAAGTAGGGACACTTTGTTAAGATTTTAATATCCTTGTCAAAGAGTACCTCTGGCACAAGCCAATTGTACCTCATAAATAGGCTGATGACTATGCATACAGATAATGTTCTGGTGTTTGTGTGGAACCTAATATAAGAAAAAAGTAATTTTAGGACCTGTGTTCTTCCTGCAGTATCCCCAATATAGCTAAATATTCATCTATAAGTGACCCGCAGGCCTCACAGTGCAACCAGACTGTTGTTTATTTGGTCCCAAAACTGTCCCAGCAGTCTGCCTGTGTAACCCAATCTGACTCACTGACTCTGGGATTGGAAATATGAAACTAGGGATATCCAGTACCATTTATGTGGTATGCAAACACTGTGTTACTCTATTTGTGGACAGCGTTACATTTCTCTGGTGTTTAGATGACGGTTCATCTCCTAGAAACAAATATTCTGGTTTAGCTCTGAGCATAGAGAGTAACAGAAAGTTCTTTGTGAAAGCAGATTGTTTAGCTCACAGAGAGTCAGGACACCTTGTGACAGCAACCTGCCAAAAGGATATGTTTGTCTGACTGGTGTTGTGGTGCTGTTTAACACAGATCAGCCTTCTATAAAGCACACAGCCTGGCAGGCAAGATGACAACACAAATCACCCCTACAAAGCCTACAATTAAATGGAAGCTTCACTGTGTGTTTGTGTGTGTATGTTTGTAAAGACCAATCCTGACAGAGGGCAAATGGTGCAGTGTAACAGGACTGAATTTCCTCTTTTCAAAAGTATTTGTGGTTGAAGTGCAGTGTGCTGGTGTGTAGTGCATTATGCATTGTTTTACACCTCTCAAGAAGCCTTGTAGTGAGTCTAGCTGTTTATATCTACAGGATCTTTTCTCTTTTCTTTAATGGAAATATTCATGAAGTTGTATCTCCAGTTAAGATCCTGTTCCTGTTAAAGATTTGAGTACACTTAAATGGGGAATAGGCTGAAGGCAGTGGATCTAAGCTCCACAAATGTTGCATCATTTGGGTTGTTGTTTTATAGCTTTAAAAGGTTTTTAAAAGGCAATGTCTCCAGCAAGCTACTAGTTAAAATGAAAGGCTTAGTTATTTCATGTGTTCAAAGAAACTTCATTTGTTAATTCTTTCCTTAAAATGTGGCAGAAGCAGATATTTTCTTTGTCTATGGATAGATGATTGCTGTTGGAATGACCAACAGCTAAGCTTAAAGGTCTTACAAAAATTATGTTTTTCTTATGTCCACTTTCTACACCTAACACTCTGCATTATCTTCCTTTCTGTCCTCTCTTCTGTTCTCCTCTCAGATATGGCGTTCCCACCTGTGCTCCTCCTGCTGCTGGCTGTTGCTCATCATGTCTGTGGCCAGAATCCGATTGACTCCGAGGCTCTGCCGAGAGGCTGTGGCTGGGGCCTTGTGCGGCCCTACACTCTCCTCTGTGACCTGGAATCCATTTGGGGCGTAGCCGTTGAATCTGTGGCTGCCGGTGGGACGCTGGCAGCCATTCTACTTGCACTGGTCCTGCTGTGTCGTCTGCGCCACATAAGCCAAGCGGAGAAGCGCAGTGGTGTCGGACCCATCCTCCTTCTGCTCTTGGGCATCCTTGGCTTGTTTGGCCTCAGTTTTGCTTACCTAATCGAGCAAGATGAGTCTCTTTGTCTGATTCGCAGGGCTTTATGGGGTCTTCTTTTTGCTGTCTGCTTCTCCTGCCTGTTGGTTCAGGGGATTCGGCTGCACAGGCTGGGTCGAGAGCGCCGAAGCCCCGGCGGATGTGCTTTAACAAGCTTGGCATTAGGTTTGAGTGCTGTGCAGGGTATCATTGCTGCTGAGTGGCTACTACTGACAGTGCTGAGAGAAGGGACAGCTGCCTGTCAGTACCAGCCTTTGGACTTCTCGTTAGCCTGCAGTTACGTTCTAGCCCTGCTTCTTGCTGCCTTTACTGCAGCCTCCTTGGCCCTATGTGGGAAAACCCGTCAGTGGCGCTGTAATGCTGTTTGGCTGCTGGTGACCTGCCTGCTGTCTTTGCTGCTGTGGGTGGCCTGGGTGGGCTTCTACTTGTATGGTAACGAATGGCTGGGCAAGTCCCCAGAGTGGAACGACCCAGCACTTGCAATTGCCTTGGTGGCCCAGGGCTGGCTCCTGCTAATCTTCCATGCCATTCCTGAATCCCACATCTGCTTAAGACCCCCACCACAACCAACTGCTCCAGATTACTTTGACACATCCCAAAACTCAACACGGATGAGGGAGACAAGCTTTGATGAAGATATCCCTCTGTCTCACCGGCAGTTTGTGGAGAACCAGGGCTACGGATACAACGACGAGAACACAGCAGGTACACTGTGGTCCAATATTTTAGAGAACATGATTTATGTGGGCAGCTTGTAGGACGAATGTGGGCCAGAGTGAGTGATGAAACTCCAAGAAAGGTCTGCCTCAGAACCTAGAAATAGGTGTTGGAGGAAATTTTCTGTTGTGTAGGAAGTGTTTATTAACTCAGGCTGAAAAGCAAAGTGAGTCAAAATGAGTAATCTGTGTTTCCTTGTTAGGCTTAAGGAGTGCAGGCAGCACCACCCAACACAACAGTAACACCGGCGCCAGGCCCAGTGCTCCCTTCCGCAGCAATGTCTACCAGCCTACAGAAATGACCATGATCCTGAACGGGGGAGCGGTGAGTACTTCTTCCCAGTCACAGGTACACGCCGCTTACACGCCGCTGTCAAACTCCATCACGCCGACCAGACTGCATGCACCTTAGAACCTTGCGGATCATGCGTCATTGCAGAACAAGGAATGAGAGGTTTGCCCTTGCATGGTCATGTCTCTGCACATGCATGGACAGGTTTGGTCACACATCACTCAAACTCACAAAGCTATTTGTGTGAGTGACTGTGAAGGCGCCTTGATGTGTTTGAATCACCTATTAATTGTGTTTGTCTGCTGAGTGATGCTATTGCTTGCTGGATTGGCAAGATGAATGTACTTTTTGGTGGGCAGAGGATGATACACTTAATATCTTATCACTTAAAATAGTCATACCCCTTGTAGATTTTGGTTTGAAGAATCTGAACATTTTCTTAGACATTTTCTTTAGATTGGAAATTTTGCAGAGGCCAAGACTGGAAGCAGTCTTAAATCTAGAATGTGTATTTGTGTATAAAAGATTTAAAGACATGTTTGAATACATTGATAGTCCTTTTACTCTATTTTGTTCTCCTTTCAAAATTACTCATCTAATTTTCTATTAGACACAAAGTTCTTGGTTAAATGTAAATAATTTCAAATCTAAATGTGCCAGGGGTATTGATAACTTGGGACTCAACCAAAGGCCTGCTTTACCAAAGTACCATGAAAGAAAACAATTGGCTACTAACTATTCTGTAACTATTTATCTTAAAAGTGATGAAGCACTAGAAGTACAGAATTGTCTGATTTAGGCTACTTAGCATGGAATATTATTACTAATGCTATTTTCTAATTCGTTTTAGAAAAAAAGATCACTTACTACATACCTGCTGTACACTATTTGTCTCCTAACCCACTGTTCGTTTTTGGTAGGCTTTATTAAAACGCTTAAGGTAAAATAAAAAAAAGTGGTATGAGACACAGCTATTAACTATTTATAGTATCATCTATAACTTTTTATTTAATTAAGTTAATCACATGCATAGGACAGTGCAATCTCTTTAGATAGTGTTATGGCGTTATGGTGATGTAAAAGAGAGAAATGCATTGTTATCAAATTGTATTACTAATAATAGTGCTCACTCAGCTTTACAATAGGAATTTGTTGTTATAAGTCTGAGATCTTATCAGATTAGAATTTGAATTCTAAGGCAAACCTGTTCCTGGCATACTGTTTTACAGTTTTTATGCCCAGCTTGATTCAATTTCTATTTTTAATTAAGCTTATCTGAATTAAGTTAAAGACTGTTATAATTACTATCTTTTTTATGACTGAGACATACAGCTGTTCGCCACTATGTCGACCTAAACTATAAAACACTTTTCTGATGGCACCAGATGAAATACGATTTAACTTTTACCTTGTCAGGACAGGATTTTTTAATCTTTATGTTTCATCTATACTATCTCATTTGATGGTTTCAGCACATATAATAGACTTATTAAAATTTTTTATGCATAAGACCCAATGAGGCTATATATATATATATATATATTTGTCATTGTCTGAGAAATCTAACAAGTAAAAAAATACAAGTTTATCCTGGATGCCTTTGGTGAGTTGCTACAGAAACGCAGTCGGGCTCATTTAAAAATAGCCTGACAGGAAAGCCATTCATATTATAATGCTGTACTGCAAACAACAAAAACCTAATAAAGTTCAGTTTAGTTTATTTACTTCACATTTATTTTAAAATAAATGTCAAGATGTTTTATAAGAAACACTGTACGGATTCGCTGAAAATCGTTTAAATTAAATCAATGAGTCCATATATTAAAGTCAAGTTCAAATATAGTCCAATACAAATCTAAGTACAGTAAAATTATAAAATATCTAAGTCTAATTTCTAAATATAATGGAAAGTTCTTGGCATGAGGATAAAAAAAACATATGGGGGCAGTGCAAATGAACTACTTTCAATTCAACAGAAAGAATCGTCCAGCAGAGCGAGAGTCAATATGAGCACATATCTGCTTCAAATAAATAATCAGAAGAGAGGACATGAGGGAACGACAGGAAAAATGCAAAAGCACTGAGTAAAACTCTCTCTGACAAAACAAAACAAAGAGCCGATATTACTCATTTACTCAGCTAAAGACTGAAGAAATTGTTCAAAATTACTTTCTAATATAAAAAGCAAACCACTTGGCCAGACATAGCTTCTGGGGATAATAAAATCAAAGAGAGTGAATAGCATGGATGGTAGAAACATCTCTATCTATAGCTTCTCCCAGAAAAGAGACCCTGCTAAGCACAGACTTAACCAGGTTAACTTTTTTTGGCAAAGTAAAACAAAAAGAGTACATAACATCATTTGTGGAAGACTCTCAGTTAAAATTAATTAGATATATAAATGAATAATTGTGCAACAAGTCAGAAATTCATAGCCGGTTTCCATATGGTAATCACATAGAGAATATGCCATATTGGTTGCAAAAAACAAACAAACTTTGATTATTAATTTGTTTTATGAGGTTTTAATGCTTGTGAGCACCTGTAAGATGAGGGAGACATAAATCCTCAATTTCCAAGTAACAAAGCTTCTTCTTTTCTACTGTATATTTCTATAAATGCATAATAAAAAGTTTGGAGTTCTGTTTTTATAAAAAAAAAAATGTATACATTATGGATAAGGTTTCATTGACACAATTTATAGAATTATCTAAATATATTTTAGTTTGATGACAATATTCCAATCTAAAGCTTTAAATTATGGGGGAAAAGGTAACAAAATAAAAGTGCAATTATGAATGCAGTTAAGCGTTTGTAGATAAACATGTTTAAGTTCATGATGCTTCCAGACCATTTGTCATTTACCAGCTCGTTTTATTCCATCTACAGGTGCCATCCGCTCCTCCCACCTACACGGGGCGGCAGCTGTGGTGAGCGACAAGATGAGGATATTTGAAGGAAAATGGAGGAAGAGGATGGAGTAGGGAGGAAGGGCTCCAGGATAGCAGAAGGGGGGAGTAGGCATCTTTAAGGACTGGACTTTTGGCTCGTATGCCTACGGGGCTCTTTTCTGTACAGACTTTATCACTGACTGTGTGCCAAACAATTATAGAATGAATGTGAGTGATACTAAGGGAGGGCAGCATGTGGAGGGCAGAGCTAAAACCTTTCTAGAATATAAGTACTTATGGAAGACTTGCAAAAATGTGGAGAGTCCAGTATGCCAGTGGCCAAAAAGAACACTAAATTATATAGAATTATTGCCATAGTCATACAGTATCTCTCTTTTTTATATAATTTGTTTCTCTGAAACTCCAGCAAGCCTCCTTGAAAACTGTGAAAGCAAACTCTTTATTCTGTTCTAGTTCCTCGTCCTGTCACGTGTGATGTGTTTTCTGCTTTACGGTGCTGGCATTGAAGCAGAAACCTTTAACTCTGTCCTCCATTCATTCACACTGTAAGGGTTGAACCAGAGTGTCGCTCTCTTAAAAAAATATATACTTCCCCTTCTGTTGGTGTCTATATACGGGAATGAGTGTGTTTATGTATTCATTAGAACTCTCACAATCCCACCAAGCCTCCTCCTTTGGACTGTTAGCCCTGGCCTTTCCCCCTCCTCTTCCTTGCACTCCGACCAAAACACATAACTGTCCTCACCTTGCTCCATCATCCCATTTGCATGGACACATTGCAAAAACCAACTGTGAAACTCTGAATAGGCAGAGATGGACAGAAAGTAAGCACAGAAAAAAAAAGTACATCTGGAGGACTTGAACTCATCATGCAACCATTAAAGCCCTGCAAGAGGTTTAAAAGATGCAAAGTGGATGATGATAGGACAAGAAAGGCGTTAGTCGTCAGCACGGGAGGTGTGGCTTTTGGAATCTGGGTCAAACCACTTCACTCTCCCCGCATCTCCGGTGGCCAGTGGCGGATGGAGGCAGCCAGGAGAAACCGTCACATTAGATCAGCAGGAAGCGAAGTGAGGAAATGAATCAGCCTCCTGCTTCCAGTTCCTCTGTGTGTGTTTGTGTGCAAATAGCATTTGAGTTTTGTGATTTTGTGAGGGCTCACAAGTTCTTTTTCTGGTGCTTAAAATGTTCACAGTGAGGTATAGAAGTGGCAGAAACAATGCCGGTGTGGATGCGTCAAAGTCCAAGTGACAGACTATATTTGGAGCGGCTGCTGCTGTGTGATCTTCTGGAGTCTCAGAGAGATCCGGTTTACACTGTGGGGTGGAAAAAGGAGAATCAAATGCAGGAGAGGTAGATGCAGAAGGGGGGGCATATAGAGAGGAGTGGTGTTAGGACCGGATCTTCTTCAGTCACTCTGCAATCTATATGAAAAAAGAGCCTTCCAATCTCCATGTGTGCATGATATGGAAGATTATCCTCCTCCTCACCTTCCTCCTGTCTCTCAAAGCTTAAGTCCCTATGCCAAGAATGACTCCATGTTTCATGGAGTCTATATTTTACACATTTTCCCTTCATTGTGGCACCAGCTCTCTGGTTCACCTGAGAAACTGTGTAAATAGTAGTGCTGTAAAGCTTTGCTTGCCTGTTTATATTGTTTTTCTCTTTCTTTTTATTTTAACGCTAGTCTAATTATAAAGACACCAGTCATGCACTGGAGAAGTGATTTAATTCTGGATTAACTTGCTTGCTTTGTGTTCATGCTCTGCCTTTTTAATATGCATTTATTTTTCTCTTGCTTGTTTCTTTTTTTTTTTTTTTAGATAGAGTTCTGAAAATGTTTTTGCCAACACTAGATGTGATTTTATTTTTGTTTGGCTATTGTTCATGGATATTTTGCATTTCTTTTAAAGGGATTTACATTGGCTGTACCTACTGATCACTGCTTTTATTTTTATTTTTCCAGAAAAATGACTATAGCTGTGAATAACTTTCGCACTTCATGCAGTAAATAAAAAAGACTATTTCTATGATACTTAGAGCAGAGCAGAGTGGTTGGACCACAATAACTCATACAGAGCCTTGCAAAAGTATTTTCATCTCCCATCCATTTTTCATAGTTTGTCACAAAGCAACCATAAATGTATTACATTTTATTGTGAAACTGTAATGTATGACAAGCAGTGAGAATTGAGAAGGGGGGAAGGCAGGGGATAAAGATTTTTTTTTATATATTTAATAAAAGAATTACTAAAATCTTTAACTGATGGTGTATTTAGGATGATGTGTAGAGTTATGGTTAGTTTCCCACCACATAGTATTTTCCATCTAGGCTAAAAAGCTCACTTTAGGTTATATCTGACCACACATTTACAGCATCCTCTACATTGCCAGTGGCAAAATACAAAAAAATATTTATTTTAAGTGTCTTTTTTTTCTATCAAGACTTTTCAAACAGAGTTGTGAATCCTAACATTTCCTCCAGAATATGCTATTTTCTTATAGCCTAAGATTAATAACTGATCTTGCAGGTGTGTTCTTTTGTGGCCTTCAGAGAACAGCTAGTTTTATAATGACATTAAAATAACTACATAATTTGGAGGGATTCTCTGCTGTTTTTTTTTTTGTTTTGTTTTTAAGAGAGGGATAATTATGCAACATCTTTATTTGAAAAATAATTTGAAACCATGTATTGCTTTTCCATGCCTTGCAGTTATGCACCGCTTCTTGTGGATCCATACAATCCCAATAAAATACATAAATATTTATGGTTGTAATGTGACAAGGTTAAAAAGGTAGGCTATAAATACTTTTGCAAAGCCCGATAAGATCACCAAAAGCCATGGTAGTGATATCTGAACTTGCATCAGCCCTGAGCTAAAAAAAAGATTAGGGGGTTAGCCCCCCCCGAATGCTGCTGTATGTTTATGTCTCAAACTGTGGCTACTCTAAAACAGGACGGCTACTTGCAGGCCAGTTTCGTACCCAGACACAGCTTGTCCTCTCTGGCCCTGCTGTGTTCAGGCCCATCCTGGTCAGAAACAGATCAATGCAAGAAGAAGTGTCCTCAGGGGTTTTCATGGTCACCAGTACGTTTTGATACTCTCATCGAAGGACGGATGTTTGAATTCTTGTGATGTTTTCACCAAGTGGAGTACAAAAAAAAGGAAGAATAACAACCTGTTGTGACTTTGTAGATTTTGCACTCGTCAACTACCTATCTGTGCATGCTTAATCACCATTTCTACATATAAGATCTTTCTCAGACGTACTTTTAAATAATAACTATTTATGTAACAGTTATGTGACAGCAATCATAATTTCAGTGTATATCAAAAGATATTCTCTTTGGAAAACGCAAAAGTGATTGTTGTAAAGCAAAGAGAATAAAATCAGAGGATAGTCCAATTTGTGATTCTCCACAAAGGAAACAACATGCCATCTTCAGTGGACCTGGTTAGACTCTCCTTTGCTTGGGTTGAAGACTTGATGGTTTTAAAAAAAAAGAGAATAGTCTGAGTGATATTGTCTCAGTGTTACAAATCAAGTAGACTGTGGTGAAATTTGCACAAAACCTCTATGTCAAGTTTGATGTCCCTGGGCAGCCTATCTGAACAACCCCGCCCTTCCCCCGGGCTTTCCTCACCCAACTCTTCTTGCCTTCAGACTGTCCCAGCAGGGCAGCTGACAGGAGCAGTATTGGTTTTCACAGCTATGACTGTGCAGTGATGAGGCATGCATATGTATAGAATCTTAATTTTTAAAAAAGGAAAAAAAAATCTTAAAACTGTTAACACTGTTGTTTCTGTAACCAATTCAGGAAGAAAAAAGTTCAATAAAAGTGTCATGTTTGTAGTTAACTTTTATCTGGATATGGATTTTTTTCCCTTGTAATTTGTGATTGTTTTGAAAAGTGTAAAGGGAAAAAATACAAATTAATGTTGAACATTTGGGAGGAAAGTTAAAATTGCCTTTTTTTTTTTTTTTTTTTTTAAAGAAACCCAAACCATTAAAAGATGATTAAAAAAAACAAAAACAAACACTGTCTACCTTTGTGGAAACAGTTTATGAGGTCAAAGTTTTTCTTTAACCATTAACCATCTTTTTTATTGGTATACTTTTCTCAAAGTTAAGTTAGCTTCTCACTTTATCATTTGAATTTTATCTGCTAACCTCCATAGTAAATGCTGAGATGTCTAAAAAACATTGAAACACAGGAAAATATAAATGGTAAATCCATGATTTAAGATGCATTGCATTTATTCAGTGTAAAAAAAGTACCACAATAAGAAATAATGTCACCTGAGCTACAATTAGCAATTTAATAATCTCTAAAAACTAAATAAATCCAGCATTTTTAAGTTTTTTATACGTTATTAAGAAGTCAAAGTGATCACCTGCTTTTTAGTAGTTTATTAATAACTTGTTTCTATGGTAAAAACATGAAGGAATAATTTTTCCTTTACAGATGCATTCTTAAGGCAGAATATGAATAAAAAAAGATATCAGCCCATCCTAGCTCTTCCACATTTACAGACAGAATAATTAAAATGTTTAAAACATCTGAAACTTTGATGAACAAAACAATGGTCCAAGTTTATCTTCTACAGCCCTCATTTCAAGCTGTTTAAAATATCATTGTGTTTTAGAAGATAAGTTGTTTGGAGTATGAATTAATTTGCAATATATTATTTGTTTTTTTTTCCCTTATACCTGTACACAGTAATTATAAAGCAAATATCAACCTCTTGCCTGGTAGAACTATCCACTCGTGTAGCAATGTCATTCCTTGTGCCGCTTTATATCTAGCGCTTTTGGATCTAGTTTCAGACTGATCCACTGCTACCAGACTTTGTGGAGCTCAGTCTGGTATCAGATATCCCCAGAATAAAATGGAGCATTTTTAATCAGCTTACCCTGTAGCAGCTATCTATTGCCTGCATTAAGATGAATGTTGACCCTCTAAAGACCACACTTTATAGACATGAAAGAAGGCAAAGATCAAGGGATACTCCAATCATACGGCCGCAGAGCATCCTCTCAGGTACGATCAGTTCGCTGGAAACTGGAAACAAGGGGCGCACTTAGTATTTCAGCTTTATTTGTAGTCATGACAGGAGGCCTAGAGCCGAGACAATTTAGTGTAGCCGGAAGGAGATCAAAGAAGTACAAAGTCGGTTAAGCATCACGTAGGATTTTACATTTCCAAATGAAATGTCATAAAGTCACCACGGCTGAGCCATAAAAAAGTGAGATGATTTTTAGTTCCATAATACAAAAGAAGACGCATCATGCTGGAGACAAAAAGTAAAAAATCATATATTATTATATATGATTAGAAACTTCAAGCTACAAAGCAAATTAATTTTACAGTGAATTCAATAGATTTGCTGTTAATTTGGATTTATACGTTGTTAAATGTATATCACTGAAAAAGAAAAACATACTAATTCTATGTTAAAAAACTGAGTATTTAAGGACAGTAATTAATATGATCTGTCAGATAGTGGCCAGTCGTCCACATGTTTAAAAAAAGTTTTGCTTCTCTGATTCTCTGACTGGGATATTCCCTTTCCCAGTAAACAGGAAAGAAAGTGCAGCTGTGAAGGCCAAGTCCTTCCTCACTCGAGCTTTAATTGTCTACTGGAAAAGAGCTGACCTCTTTTTATCATATTGTTTGCTACAATAAAAAAAAAGAAAAACAGAAGAAGGAAATACTGTTGTTCTCTGGTGGAAGATCAACTGGAGGAGCCAAGAGAAAATATCAGGTCTGTTACAAGAGGTTTCCCCCTCTGACACCATTATGGAAAGTAATGTTATATGGGGGGTATATCATGGAGTGAGACAAATGGAGGCTCAACAAGGCAAAGGGGAGCAATAAAATGATTAGACATAGATCATATCATATATCCTTCCCTGACTCTGTAGGCCTTTGGATAGCTTGTTTGGCTGATAATTTCTGACAGTTTAAAGTCAGGGTAACAAAGTTTAATCACCCTTTAAGATAATAAAACATAAAGTAAAAAAATATACAAAAATGCAAAAAGTGTTCAAGTGTTGTTGTTTTTCACAGCGTTAGACAGAGCGAGGAAGTTAGTCATGTCAAAGATGTTTCCGTTTCCTTCCACAGCCTGTTGGTCAGTCTCTCATCGGCCAGTGAGGTTGTCTGGCTGGTGTGGACTATACCCAACCCAAGGACAGAGACTGATCCGGTTAAGGGCTTTCTTCTACATCTGTCATGGTCAAACCAACTGGAAAAAATAAAATGAAGGTATTCTGTTTTTAGAGAACACAATTATAGATTTCCACAGCAACAAAACTAAGGCATTATGCAAAGGCATTTTCTAGGTTAAAAAAATAAAAATAAAATAAAAAATATGGCCAAAATATAGACTTGGTTGAATAGTTTTTCACAACACTAATGCTTCCAGCAGCCACATTGGATGTTGAATGTTCAGGGAATGCACTACATAATTCGCTTTTTAGCTTTGATGGGCTTTTTATTTTTGATTGTTTGAGGATATTAAAGAGCCATCCTCTGAGTACATTTTAGATCAGATCCATGCTTCATATGCAGGGATATGGACATGCTTGTTGGTTCTAATCTGCTTCTATTTACATGTATCTGGTTTTTCTGTTGCAATCTCTGTTCTTGACCGATTATACTGCAAAGGGATTGGCAAACACCACAAAATAATTACGCCAATTAATTTAGATCACTTTCATGACAAACTGTAAATAATAAACTCTGTGCTCAGTGATTTACTAGTATAGTAATAGAAGCTTCTGAAATTAGTCCAGTGCTGAAAATGTCCTCACTGCTTAATACTCCACATGGGACCATTATTATACAAAAACTCAGTCACATAGCAAATGGACACATCTACGAAGTGGTAAATAACAAAGCGGGGTCACTAGATAATGAAACACACAATGCATTGAGGGCATCAACCTTTTGCTGAGTCAACAGCGGTACCCCTCAAAACTTTATGAGGGACCTTCTCTGAAAGAGTTTTTATGTCCAGGAAGCTGCACCCAAGCCTATCATCATCAAGGTATATGCAAAGTATCAGACACTATGGTTTAAAAACCCCTGACTTTGGACTCAGAACAATAAATACATCTTGATTGCAATGAGGAATCTGGAGATGATGAGTAATTATCAGGTGAGCAACTAACTCTCTTTTCATTGCATTGAGTTAAGTTTTGGTCAGGGAAGATTCATGGAGACAGTTTAGGGAAGCCCCCTTCCAGTTTCAATATGACAACGCACCATTGCATTAAGTAAGGTCCCCAGAAACAAGGAATGAGCAAGTATGATAAGAATTACAGGAGCAACTGTAAGACAGGCCTTCATCATCCAACATCAGTGTCTAACCTCTAAAATATTTTTTCATGAATAGTCAGAAACCTCTGTAAGGCAGGACCAACATCCTTAAACCTGTTGTATCAAGAAGTGGATAACCATTTAATGAGTGAGTGTGAAAATATATGGCAGTATAGTGACAGTTGGCAGTAACGTAAATATTAATGCTATATTGTTAAATGTTAAAGAGCTTAGAGACAAAATACAAAGAAACTGATTTGATTAATCTTACATGTACACTAAAACTCAGCTTCTGGAAATATTGGGCAATAATCACACATTCCGTAAAAGTTTAAACACAATCCACTGGATTTGGTTTCCAAGGTTTGAAGACGTCGTTTAGAACCTATTTGATGAAGTAAAGTAAAATTCTTTGCCTAAACAAAAAAGCTTGTTCTGAATGTAAACATTAAACCAAAGACAGTTGTGTGTTGATGCATTTAGTGCTAACAGCTGCACCTGTTCATGGTGCTGTAACCCTTGAACCTTTTAACATATGAGTCTGTGTCTGCTGTTTGCTCTTTATTGTTGTTTTTAGCTTCTGTCTCAGGCTACCTCTGAATTCAGACCAAAAATGTTTACTCCTCAGGTCAGATAAGGTAAATGCAGCTGTTTCTGGTTCCATACACAAGTGTGGGGTCATCCCTAAATAGTTTTGCTCACACTGCTTGTCGCAGAAACAAACACGGTGCAATTATCTGTCAGAACCTTCATCCAAAACAACACACAGTATAACCACTTCTCTTCATCCCTTCCCTTCTTCCTTTCACAACACATATTTCTGCTTCACTTCTCTTCTAATATCTGACTCCTTTCCTAGACCAGTTCAGATTCTTTAAAATAGGTCAGAATATGATTTCCATTTAGAATGATGGTTTGGGTAGACTTTTTTCTTTTCTGCAGTCACACAGTGTGCTGCACATGCACACACCCCCAGGCCCCCAGCTTTTATGTCAGGTCAGCAGCAGCAGCAGTGAGGCTGAGGCACCACAGCACAGGAATTTTGTTGGCCTGCCGTGGCTGCAGTGAGACCTTTTGTTATGTGGAATGTGTTAGTGTTGAGACAAACAGACACAGTGGTGTAAGAAACACAAGCAGGAATGTAATCATGATGAGATTTAATGTGCATGTTTGAAAGGCTGTATACAATGGTGCATCAACAATAGGAAAAAGCAGGGGGGAGATGTAATGATTGAAGGTGTGGTTTAAGTTTTTTTCATTTTTAAAAAAAAAAGTAGTTAATATCTTCCTCACAGCATATAAATCCTATGGTGTCTTTAGCTGTATAGGTCTAGATTAATATGTCTAGGAGATGAAAACTGAATCCAAGCAGACTTTAAAACTCAAGAAAAACCCTCATTATGGTGTTTGGTGGATATTAACACAAAATATGATTATTCTCCACCAAAAAAAAAAAAATCCACCCCCAAAAAAAGGATGAAAGACAGACATGATGACGGTTTGAAAATCACATTCATTAACTGCTATCAGTGCTAGTGCAAAGTGCAAGAAAAATCAATGTTATGTGTTTTACAAAGTGAACCTAATTCCCTCTAATTTACTGAATATGACTGTATACTTGTAATGCCACAGATTTATGCAATCTCCTCCTGATAGAAGCATTTGTACTTAGCTATAACTTTTATAATCTTACAAACTATGGCTACAGCAATGCAAATAAGAAAATGTCCAAGAACAAATCCATCAAGGACAGATTTAGATTCATTTGATAGACTATACTTGTTGGAAGGTATTTTCTAAAACTGCTGAATGCTGAAGTTAAATCCATAAGTGGTTCAACAAAATGTTAGTTTAAGGGTGCAAACACTTTTGCAAAGAGAACTGTAGGGGCTGTACTTTTTTTTTTACATATGTAGTTTGAGTATAATGACATCTAATGTAGAATTTTAGACTCCAGTTAAGATAAACCATAACATTAGAAATTAGATGAGTTCAATTAAATAATAATCCTACCAATAATATATGAGATGTTAGTAAGGCAGACACCCTACCTAATTAGCAAGCTAATTTGTACATGTTTCTTTCATAATACTCTACAAAAAGAAGATCAGACTTATAGATAAGTTTCAATCAGCTTTTTCTAATGCGCATCTTGGCTTTTGTGAAAAAGGGTTAATCAGCAAAACTGAAGAAAGAAACATTGGTCATTTCAAAATTCACAAAAAGACAAGTATGGACTTGTGTTCACGCCAAGTACGTTCTTGGCAAGAATACAGTAAATATGGACTCGGGGAGAACGGAAGGAACCAGAACAAATATTTGTCAATTGGAACAGAAGCGTATGCATGAAATCACCATACGACCCGCATTTCACATCATAGTATTAATAGTCTCTAGATAATAATAAATTATTACTTTTTAATTTACAAACCAACTGAACATTTTGCAGCCTCTTCCTCCAGTTTACTGCAGCCATGCTAATGACACAATGTGGACCACAATGTATGACAACATTACGCTTTGGTGCTTGGTTAATTTGCTTTAAACTAAATGGAAATACCTAAAATCGATTTAATCAACTTATGAAAAACTATAGTTTAATGGCATATAAGACTTAAATATGGTCCATCTGATTAACAAATATTGTCCAATTAAAAGGAATTTATTTCAGAGTCGTAGTATTACCTTCTACCACTAGAGGGCTCTTCTCAGGCAGAGCCTCACTGGTACATACAAGAGAAGTAATGACCGAGTGGAGGAATGATAGAACAGAACCATGAATCCAATCTTTGATTATTATTAATAGTTAATGGCGACAATGAGGCAGTTTATTCAGTTCTCTTTGTAAATATAAAGACTATAAAGACAATTAGGTTATATTAAGTTATCCTCCAAATAGCTGTCATTTAGCTGTGCTGCATAGCAGAGCTTCGTCAACTTCTCTGCTGCGCTGAGAAGGTGAAGATATAATGATGGAAAAGTGGAGGGGTTTATGCAAAACATTTGTTATGTGATAGAAATAGACATGAGAGCAATTAGCACAGTAAATGGAGAAGGCTTTTATGTGATAATGCACTTCATGAGCAAAGTTTTATCATTCATCTGACAGCAACCAATGCCACCTGTTAAAATGAGGAGTGACGGCCTAGTTGTTAGGGCATAGAGCTTGGAATCCTGAGATTGTGAGTTAGAAACCCACTCCCAGAGACTGCCACTCTGGGTCTCTGAGCAAGACCCTTAAACTCCAATTGCTCCCCGGCCCCCCCTACAATGGCAGCCCACTGCTCCCCAAGGGGATGGGTTTAATGCAGAGATAAATTTCTCCTATGTGAGATCAATAAAGTTTAATTATTATCAATTATTATAAAGTTGTTGCTAACAGTACAAAGTCTTTAGAATTACAAGGTAATTCACAGCTACTGTCCACGCCACTGAAAATAATAGGCAGTCTGATGTCATAAATGTTGGAAAGCTTAGAGTCATAGAGAAACACCTGTTCCAACCGTTGCATTTCCGAATTCTCCAGAGTGGTGCCCTACTTTACACAAGTGAATAAAGTGAATGTGATTGGTTGTTTATCAAGGGAGCGGGCTTTTTGTGGCAGAAGGTTTGCAAGCTATTTGGTAGTGATCGGTTTGTCGGATAACGAAAAAAAACCAACAGATTTTAAGACAGGATTTTCTTTTATATAAATTTTCTAACTTTTGGGACAATATTGTCTGATAAAGAGTACATTTGTATACATGTTTAAGCCAAAATTATTTGACATTTAAATATGACTTCCCTATGACTTTAAGTGTTTCTCATAAGGGTCCACAGATTAAACGTAATCCAGAATACTGATAATTAAAAAATAATAAAAATTATCATCATCTATGATGAGAAGAAAATCGCCAGATAAGGTCCGGTTTTTGATAAGAAAAGTTAGCTGGTCATAGATAATGCTTAGCATTTTGACTTCCTAATATTATTTCCACAGTTGTTAGCCTGCAATATTTGGTATGTTTCTTTACCCCAGAGCTCTGGAACTGTTGTAGCTAGAGGTCTGAAATGTTCTGCATTTTTGGTTGACATGATGTAGAACAAATGTAATAAAATGTGACATGCCCATTCTCAAGCATGTCTTTATTACTGCTGTTCAAAAAAGACCTATTATTTTCAATAATAATAAAAAGAGCTATGAGTCAAGTTTGAACTGGTGCAGCTTGCGTTGTGTTTTACTCACCCAATTTTCTTTTATATTTCAGAAACTAGAAGGTGTTTGCTTTCAAATGATGTTTCACACATGTAATTTGGGCTTACAGTTCCTCAGTTATTTCGTTTTCCATTGGGTATGCAAAATAGGCGAGGACACTACTTCAAAATGAGGTGCGTGTTAGTGAGGTTTTTATTGACAGCTGTCATATAGCGAGGATTTCTGATATTTTGTCTTCTTATTTGTAAAAATAGAAGAACAAAAAGAGCTGTTTTAAATGAAATTTCTTTTTGTTAACATTATACAGTATACAAAATGGCAAAATAAATCTAGTCTAAATCTAAAAGAAGCTCACCTTTTTTCATGTGCAAATTCCAAAGGGTAAAGTTTAGTCTTTATTCTTAAAGCCTAATGCTAGTACCTCACATTAGACACAGATATGCATTCTCAGCTGCTGTGCTTCATCCTTTATGTGTGCGGACCAGAACTCTTAAACACTCACATAGTTCTCCATGTCTCTGTCTTAATCTCTGTGTAGCTCCTCTCTTTCTTCCCATGTACCCCCCAGCCCCCACACTCTGCCTCCTCCATCGCACAAACCCACCCCAAGCCCTGCAGATATTCTCATTCTTTTCCATGCCATGTCTTTATCTCTGCCGCTGGCCTCATTTTTCACTACTGTATGCTGCTCCTGAAAGAACCCTCGTTTCGGCTTTGACATCAAAGCCATGTTAAGATGACTACTGTATCAATGCGGCAATTTAGGTGCGTGAGTATATGTGGTGCACGAGGTTGACAGTATTATATAAGCATGTCTTTGCATAATGCATTTACCAATGCTTCCAAATAAACAACCACTGCTGTCAAAGACAACAGTAGTAATATATTTCCTAAGCACTGCTAGCCTGTGTTTGAAAGTGAGCATGTGTTGTAGCATTTGTTACAGCTCAAGCCTGCTTTTCCAAACAAAAGTGCTATTTTTTTATTTATAGTTTATTTTTATGACCAGTGTGTAAATTGAGTTTGGATTATTTTAAACGTTAGGTTAATGCTGAAAATTGTTGGGTTAGGTTTAGTTTCAGAGCAAGGCTATAGAAACAAATGGAAATAACTGGAAGGCAATGCAAAGTCTTTGTATGGATAAAAGCCCATTAAATGTGTGTTTTTGTGTTTACCTCTGGTCTCTTGTCGGGTCCAAAAAAATGCAACCATTTTGGCAATGTCACGACTCTCCCTCAGCTCCCTTTGCCATCGCCGTAATTCCTGCACATCTGGCCGTACTCTGACCTAAAAAATCAAGTGTATTAATGTAAGCAAATGTCATAAACATATTTAAGACACATTCTATTACTCATTGTTTAATAATATGTGTGTGTATTCGTGTATTACTGTCATACATATAGAATTTAATGATATAAGATTTTAACTAGTTCATATTTTATTAATGCAGAATTTTTGTAATTAATTCTGTCTCCTACTTTAATACATGTGTCCCTCTTAAGATTTATGTGTTCCACAAGGGTTAATGTATGCCCCATTTTGGTTCCTTCCCCACAAATTAAAGTAATTCAAAATACCCAATACAATATTCATATTCATAATCAACTTTTACAATACAACTTTTAGTTGCATCTAAAATGAAAATAAAAATACAACTAAAGGAGCAAGAGGGAGCTTTAACTCCCACCTCCAGGAGAGCTTTGAACACATTCCGAGGAAGGTGGGGGGCATTGAGTCTGAGTGGACCATGTCAGGTCTCTGTATGACCGGTGTCAAAGCCTGGTCGGAGGGTTGGACTCTGCCAAGGTTGCTCTTTGTAACAGATTCTGTTCATAACTTTTCTGGACAGAATTTCTAGGCGCAGCCAAGGTGTTGAAGGGATCGTTTTTGGGGGCCTTAGGATTGCGTCTCTGTTATTCACAGATCATGAGGTTCTATTAGTTTTATAAGGGCGTGAGCTACACTTCTCACTGGAGCGGTTCTCTGCCGAGTGTGAAGCAGCCGGGATGAGGATCATTGCCTCCAAATGACCTGACCGGGATAACTGGAAGAAGATGGATGGATGGATGGATGGATGGATGGATGGATGGATGGATGGATGGATGGATGGATGGATGGATGGATGGATGGATGGATGGAAAGTGACAGTCATTTAATTTACATACTCAGTTTCAGTAGCTATTCTCATACCTCCCAGACCAATATGTGAAGAAATACTTAAAAAAAGAACCTATCTGACAACAGGAAGTCACAAAATGTCAACCATTGTGCCTGGATCCAAATGAGTCGGATTTTCAAGGGAATTTTTTAAGGCTTTGAGATGCACAGCACAGTTAGAGCCATTATCACAGATATTGATAGGTACACCAGAACTTATTTTCAATTTCTAGTTTTTTTATTGGCCAAGACTCTTTGAAATGAGGGCGTTTAAATTCCTTACACAGGCAGCTGTGTAGTTTTACAAAGCAGTTTGTTATTTAGTGAGCTAACTGTTAAACTGCATGTGCGAGCACAACTGTGTCAGTATTGTGTGGCTGGCTAAATGGGTGAAATTCATGCAGTCTCATTGTCATGAAACAGGCTTTGATGCCCCTCTAAACTCCAGTTGTTGTTGGGATGACTCATTCTTTTGTTTTTGAAGGAAACCCCTGCAGTTGTTTTGTGTTGGGTGTGGGCTGCTGGGTTTATGGAGAGATCGACTGAATGTTTGCTGTTTAAGATAAAAAGAAATTCTCCCTGCAGGGCTGAAGTGCCTTTTCTGCTCCTACTAAAACAGCCTTCTCTTTCTTTCACCTTAAGAAATTTCCTTTATTGAATCTCCCTCCCTTCAGTTCCTCGATGTCTCCTAACAACACTTCAGACCCTCTTGAGATTCTCCACACATATATGTTTCACCCCTTTTTGTCCACCTCTGTCCCCTCTGTTTTTCATTCTCCACATCTCCACTCACCCATCCTGCTCCTCAGCTTCCAATGAGCCTCAACATCCTCTGAAGAGACTGCTTGAGGAGCCACACTAGTGTTTCTACTAAGGTGTGTGAAAGCAGGCCTGTTATATAAGGCTAGCCATGGGGCTGACGAATTGGTAAAACCAGTGAGCTTGAGCGGTTAATTCAGTGGGTGTCATGGTGCTGCAGCAGGCCCTGTCCTGATGGGACGAACCATAGAAATGGAAATGAGGGGCGAGGGTCAGGGCGGGTGGGGGGTTGGAGCCGCTTGTGTTTGCTCACCACTGCTTGTTTTCTCTATGTGAGGGACTGAATGTCAATTTTTCACTGGAATCTTCAATAAATCCTTCACCTTGTTATTGTGCTTCTGCTGTTACCTGAATCGGTCATGAAAAAAAAAAAAAATGCAGCTGACTTGCTGATAAAAGGAGCTGATTTTGATCATGGCCTTACAGACAATAGTAATGTTTAAAGAAGGAAGGAAGGAAGGAAGGAAGGAAGGAAGGAAGGAAGGAAGGAAGGAAGGAAGGAAGGAAGGAAGGAAGGAAGGAAGGAAGGAAGGAAGGAAGGAAGGAAGGAAGGAAGGAAGGAAGGAAGGAAGGAAGGGATAGATAGATAGATAGATAGATAGATAGATAGATAGATAGATAGATAGATAGATAGATAGATAGATAGATAGATAGATAGATAGATAGATAGATAGATAGATAGATAGATAGATAGATAGATAGATTTTTTTTCTTATATGGTTCTCTGTGTTGTAATTGTTTATGACTGTTTTGGGACTCAGTATGCTTTTGTTATGTCGCTGCACACATGTCCAAGTTTAATCTAGCTCATGTGAGTCACTCCTGTCATGTTGTATACAATGTACAATGACACAGGCATGAATTAAAGGTTATTAGAAAAATCGGCAGGACAATGTGAGGCTGTAGACTTCCAACTGCATTTCTTCAAATGCAAAATGAGCATAAACACAAACTGCACATCATTATAAGAATCACACCAGTGACAGCACAAGAGGAATCCCTACATAAACCACGTTCCCACAAGTTGCATAACTCTGACACATAGTTTCTAAAATGCAAACCTTTGTCTACCCTGCTGTGCTTTTTTTAAAACACTGACAAGTAATGGAATTCTTGCTCTGTCGTTTGGATAGAGCGAAAAATGAAATAGGTGCCTAGATAGGTCACTTTACTGTAAGTCTGCAGGTAAGGACCAAGTAGAAGTAGACAGGAGGGCTTTTTGATATACTGTGTCCCTGTGACATTTTTTCTGCATGAGTGTCGCTGCACGAGGTCGGTCAACTGACCTGACACTGAAGCTCAGCTCAGACAATTTAACTATGGCTGTTCCCAGATCATTGAGCTGGAATCGCAGACCTAATTCTCTGATTGACTACTCTACTGTCTGGGAAGAGTTGGTGATAATATACCAAACCATCAATACTGGATCATGTAAAACAAAAAATACTCAACTTGATTAGTGCCTCTATTTTCTATCCCATATTAAGACAGGATTGAACTAATGAAGAAAAATACTTCATACGTAACACCAAAGAGTTCATACTGTAAATTAAACACAAAATTTAGATTTTTTTTCCTTTTTCTAAATTTTTTTTTATGCAATAAAAAATATGAGTGTTATAAAGTCTGTATCAAACACATTTAAAGGTTACTTATTTGAAGAAAAAATGTATTTCTGGGTTAAGAGGTAGAACTGACTATGTGGGCTGCATCCATGGAAACCTTGCACATCCCTGTCTGCCAATGTCAAACAGTTTATATTGCTACTAAACATTGTTTGGTCCCGTGATATAGAGCAGTGATGTGAGACACCAAGTGGGAGGTCGTGAAATGATGTTCATAAGTATTGAGAGGTATATGGATGGAGGGAAAATTTCAATCCATACATTATAAAAAAAAATACATGTGAATCATCCATGAAAAGGTTTACTACTAACTGCTGCATTAAATAACAGAAATGTACTTTTTTCATAATTTTTTGAAGAAATAAAGATATACATTTGAAATTAAGTAATTGTATTTTTTTAAAAATGCAAATCATTATATTTCTCCTAAAGATAGGACCTCCACCTTTATTGGCCTGACTCACTTTTTAGGCCGTTCTATTAAATGGTTACATTTCTGGTACCTGCTTGGGTGTCTCTCCAACTATACTGAGATGTCAGAAGACTGCTGGTCACTGATTCTTTTTGCATGGCATAAATATGATATAAACTAGTATCTTTAACCATTTATGGCACTTACTGCTCAGATATACATTTTTAACTGATGGACCTTTCAGTTTCTTGAAGATATTTTCAAGAAACTACCATGTTCAGTTGTGGTATCGTGACATACCAAGATGTAGTACAAGTGGGGGGGTGAATACTTTCTGGTATATTTGCTTTGGGAGTTTTTGTTTATGTTATTTGTAAGAAAAGCAATTTCTGGTGTCAAACTGTAGCTATTAAAACCTCTTTTTATACTTTGTTATTCATGTTTACGTGAAAGACGGGGCAGTTTTTAGAACTTTTGTCTCAAGAAAGGAAGGTCCTGGGTTCTGGCTATGTGGAGTTCCCTCACACTTTCTGGGCACTCCTAATTTATCCCACAGTCCCATAGGTTGTAGCTCTATGAGTAAAACACCTGAAATGACCCCTAACGGATGAACTGGACTGTTAAATTTAACCCGATTTTTTTTTTTTTTTTTTTTTAGGTTTATGGCACTAGTGACTCATTTCTTTTTCTTCAACAGTAGGCTGACGCGAACGGCGGTATGCGAGAGAGGGGGAGACATGCGGCAAAGGAGCACAGGTCGGATTCGAACCCGGGTCGGCCACGTCGAGGACTAAGGCCTCCATACATGGGTCTTGCACGCTAACCACTGCTTCACCTGCACGCCCAATTTAACCTGATTTTAACCCAAACATTACAAAGATATTATTATTATTATTGTTTAGTAAATAAAGTGGTAAAAAAATTTTCAATCGACTCAAACATTATTTTTAATTATTGGCCATGTAACCGATATAAAAAATAAAATTAAAAAAACATAACGCCGTGTGCTGGATCAAATTCTAAACAAACCCTGGGCTAAATTTCAAAATTATACATAAAGCTGTGCTAGGAAATATCCTAAACCAGGTTGTCTCTGAGTGTGTTTAATGTGTAATGGACTATATGGAAGGTCATACAAATTTAGTCAGTTTAAAGATATTTATGAACGCTATATTGTCTTTTTAGTACATTTTAGGTTTATGGTGGAACAGATTTATCTGACTCTAGTGTGAAGCTGCAGTCTATATAGGAAGACAACCTGTTGACTGAACACCAGTGCCATGGGATTAATGGCAGCTTGTGTACGGAAATGGAAGCAGAATAAAACAAAGTGAAGTGCCTGACCACAACTTCATGATATAAACAAACTAACAGTGGTTTATTATACAACAGCGTCACTGGTGCAACTCAGCTGACCAGATTCTAGTAATCCTAATAAGTCTTAGTGATCATAAAATGTGTTTGTGTGTGATACAGTACATGTGTGCTACAGCAGCAGGCATGGATGAATGGATTATGGTTGAGCAAAGGCACATAGTTTAAAGAAGATTATGTAATATGTTAAGGTCTTGTACCACTTAATAGTTAGTATCATACCTCATGCACATTTTCACATCTGTCTTATTCAAACCTACTAAGCTTCTGTAGTCAGTCTCCCTAAATCAACACTTTATAAAACCCTTTACTGTCTTTTCAGCTGCAGGTCTCCTGGTTCATGTCAGTCGTAAGAATTAAATAACTGCTTTCTTTATTCTTTCCATAATAGATCAAACTCAGTCAAGATGGAGAAGATCTTTGAAGATTAATTTTAGCCAAGTCTTGCTTAATAGATCTTTATTGGAGTAGTGATAGTTGTTGGATTTCTGCAGCTCCTTCAGAGTTACCTTTTCTGTTTCAATAAAATTACAAGAATTTTTTATTCCCCCTGAGATTAACAAAGTGTTTTTGAACTGAATTGTCAGCTTAGGTTGACACCAGTTGTGTCATGCAGCTGTTTGCATTTTGTATATGAAGGATAAAAAGTCACATGGTCTGGGTCAGAGATGCAAGTTTGTTCGTGTGCGTTTGTGTGTGTGTGAGAGCCAGCTCTGCTGCTGCTCTTCCTCAGCTCTCTGTGTTGTGATGAAAGAAATTAATAATGGAAGGATAAAAATTCCGCTCTGCAAAAATACTCTCCGTCTGTACTTCCTGCTCTGTGTTTCTTAACCAGAACACGCATACTCGCCCAAATCCGCAAGGACGGATACACACACACTGCAGTCTGGGAGTCAGCGCTGCGTCAGGCAGGTTATATAACAGCTCAAAACGTGAGAGTGATGGAGAACAAGCATAGGGACCGGGTTGGGACAATCACTGTGTGCTCAGTTATAAAAGAAATCTGTTCATTTAAATCTTCTGTGAGGACTATGAATCATGCAGCACATTTAAAGTTACCAAAACGAATTTATACAAATACTCCAGTCATGATACACAGCAGCCTCTGTCAGGACTCTTCTAACTCAAAATGTCTCCGTTCTGTGGATGTTAAATAACTTATTATTTTGCATCTGCAAAAAGCTTTCTTTAATCCTTATTCTCTGCTGACAAAACTGTTTCCTTCCATCTTCCACTATTTTCTAATCTGACACTGCTCTCACCACCAGCATGATTTATTTCTTCCCCTTTGTCATCCACAACAGAATGTCCCAAACAGATAGTTTCATCCTTCTACATAATCCCTCCTGCTCTGTCTACCATCTCAGTTCCTCTCTGTGGCTGCTTGTCTCTGCATCCAGATCCCTTGGGGTGCCCCACTGCAGTGCCATCAGTGGCCTTTCTGAACACTTTCCTAAATAAGGGTAAATAAACTTACAGCTGCCAACACAAAAACACGGTGCTGTCTCCCTCTGCTGGTGATAAAAAGCATATAAAACAGGGTTTATGCCTGTTTCTTAGCAAAGCTTTTCAGGCATAGATCCATAAACTCAGATTCATGTTTAAGTAGCTTTACCAATTCAAAGGCAGCTGCATATCTAACTGCATCTCAAAAGCAGCAACTTCTAACAAGACAAACAACACGCAACCCTTTTACTCATCCTCACAGCACTGAGGGTTGTGTTTATCTTTTGTTGCAGAGTGATGAAAACTACTGCTGTTTGCCTCTGGCTGTGTCTGACTATTTATATCGTAGGATGGCAGCGCCCGCGCTGTAGGAAATTAAAGCCTGGCACCGATGACATAACCAAGTTGCTGAATGAAACAGCAGACCCCTGTGTTAGAGGAGGCATCTACAGCAGGATGGGATTATACAATCTCACAGTGTGGGCTAATTTTCTCACAGGGAGGGTGTCTATTGTATGCTAACAGAACCCTACGACACACACAGGGAGTTAGGGTCACTGGGGTCTGACTAGGTTTTCTTTTCATTTTAGAAATGGATTTTTCTTTACATTCTAGTTACTTAGTTGATATTGCATTTAGTTTATCCTAAATTATTCTCTCACAGCTTAATTAGAAGTGTACGGTAATAGAAAAAATATTAGGACATCCTACGACATCATGTTTTTCTTAGTCCCTTTGTCTAATATATCTTAACATGTCTTAATAATGCTGTCATAAAGCTACTGAAACATGTCGACTAGCTTTAGCTTGCCAGAGAGAATACAGAAAAAGGCCAGGATTTCTAGAATATCTATTTAGATAAATTAATTAAAACATCTAACTATTTGGGGATTATATTAGTGGATATATCTGGATTCAACAAAATACAGCATGCCAGGGAAAACAACGACATACGAGAACCAACTATGTAGAATACTGTACAAATAGAAGAGTTACGGCTTTAAATGTTTTAGTCAACAAGACCTGGCAAGTTCACTATCATGGGATCCATCATTAATTCAATAGTATGGTTGACAAAAGTGAGATGAACTGGATCCAGGACATAACAGTGATTCCACCAAGGACTGCTTGGTTGACATCAGATCTTTCTCTCACTGAGGTGAACTAAAACAGGTTTTACATACAGGAAACCCTTTAAATATCTGCAAATTCAAAGTGAGAAATGAGAAAAACATTCCTCATAATCTCAGAAAAGATGGTAAAAACATTTTCAGGCAGAAGGATCCTCTAAAATGATTCTAGAATTCACATTTGACATCTTTTGGTGATGATTTACAAAAAAACAAAACAGTAAAGATTCAGTGTTTACATCTATTTCATTCCCAGAATTTTCCAAATAATTATAAAAAAAATCTAGCATTTCATATGTGGACATTTCAGGTTAAAGATGTGAATATTTAAAGGTGCTTCCTTGAACTGCCTAACATCAAGCCTATTTATAGAATGTGTGATTATGCTTAAAAGCAGGATTAGTGTTATGAAACCAACCGATTTAAAGGAATGCTATATTTCTATCCACAACAGGTTAAAATGCTCACGCAGAATTATGGCCAACATTTGCTGATAGATAAAAAAAAACATAACGTGGTCAAGGTGCAGCTAAGTAAGGCAGATTAATTGTTTATAAAAGCTAGTGTGGGTGTATGCATATATTTTAGTCTGTGTGTATCACTTTAAACTCCATTAATGATGACATCCAAATAAATTTAAACCGGTTGACTTAATTCTCATTTTTTTTTAAATCTCTAAAATAGTTCATTGCATATCACCTCTATATTTCAATGAATTAATAATAGCATAAAATTAACTCCATTTTAATGCAAACGTCTGATCAGTGCTGGAAATATAATCCCTGTTTTTGCTCCTTTAATATATTTTCCTCTTTTATTACTATTTACAGCTGTATGGGTCATTTCTACACAAATATGGTTCAGTGTACCTTATAGCCTCTCCAGAAAGCCTGGATCAGCAGAGCAGCCTGCTCTTCGCTGAGCAGTAGAAACAACGGGATGGGAGGCCTTGGGCTGAAACATACAGTGAAAGAAACAAAGAGGAAGACATAAGAGAATCTGATGATCATTAATGCATTGGGGGAAAAAAACCCTCAGCATTAGAAGATTTGAACATAAAAAAAAAAAAAAAAATAAACTGGCACTAAATTTGACATGTCTGATTATCTAAACAAGAACAATAGGAAAGAGTAAGTTCTAACCCTTCTCATATAATTTACCTAATTGTAATCATTGGTAAGTGGTTAATACGACTCAATGAACAAGCCAATTATTTCTATGTGTTTGGATATGTGGGCCACTCACTGCTTTCTCAGCCAGTCTCTGACGAAGGGAATGTCAAAAAAGTTCACAGGATCCGTTCCCTGCCTGCGGGGATTCTGACTGAATACATAAGAAACAACGCAGGCTAAGAAAGTCACAAGGTGTGAAATTAGTATATATGTGTGTTTTAATTTTATGGGTAGGTAGGTTTTTACTTGTATAGCCACTCAGTTAGGAAATCACAGGGCACAAATTTGGTTATTTTTCTCTGGAAAGAAAAAAATAAAAAGACATGTAAATTTTAAATCATTCAAAATCTCTAAACTATAAGAAAAAAAATAGCCAACTAAATAACATGCTGCTACATGTTTTATAAGAAAAAAGAAAAATGTTCTGCAATATTGCTTTATTTCACTGATAAACTGAGATACAGAACATCTTGTCCAGCATATCTAAACCCCTTTTAATGGTATCAAAGTCTGGAAGCTGCCATGTTTAGCCTAGAATCCCATTAAATCGTAATATTGACATCTAATATGAGTTCACCCTTTATCAAGAGCCAAAACATCTATTCACTCTATTACACAACACTTGAGACATCTGACAAATAGACACATTTATTGGTAGCACTGATAATGTGTCAAAAGCTTTAAAATGCATTTATCTTTTATTACATTAGCAAAAACCTAGATCAATAATATAAGACCAAACCCATATGTACATGTTGACGGCATCTACCTGTTCATATGGAGACTTTACTGCAGTTCTCTAACCTTAGTTTAGACTGTAAATGGGGAAACCAGGTAATTGCCTCACTGAAAACATTTAAGCTCTAGTGAAATTAAAGGTTGGATTTTTTTTTAAAAGAAAAACAAATAAATAAATTATAACAATATTATGTTACAATAGTTTTTAAAAAATCCATCACTATTCAAACATCTTCACTAGTAATTCTGATAAATATAGCCAGCACTACAACACCTCAGTACTTTGATTTTTGTTTAAATATTTGAAGTGATTTTCACAAGAATAAATATGGACCTCAAAACACCCGTGTTTCTGAGCTTCTGCCAGCAAAGCCTCCAGACCCGGCAGCAATACTGGAAGCACTGTCTTCTCCAAGAACTGCTTGAGAGGCCCTACACAACATAAACATTACAGCTTGCGAATAGAAATCAGGAATGGGAGGAGTTCTTTGACCCTGCAAGGTAAGCTTACTTTCATTTACGTGTAGAGACGGTGTAGTTTCAGCTGTAGTCGAGTGTTTCTGAAGACAAAGGTGATCCTTCCAGCCAGCAACAGAGTCAGTGTTCCTCAAATGATCGTTATCCCCCAAAACCTAATAGAGTCATAATTACTAAAAAAATCCTGAAGAAAACAAGATATTCTTTAAAATTCTGTTGCAAAAGTATTAGTCATGCCCTTTGAGCCTTTAATAATGTTCTTTAGAATCCATGAGGGATGATAGAGACAGGTGGGCTTCTAATTTTCTATTACATGAAAATCTCAAAAGTGTGGCATGCAAATACAGAGCATTCTAGTCACCAGGATTAGTGTTTTGTAGAATCACCAGTAGCAGTATTTACAGCTGTAGCACATCCATTTATCCATTCCGCTGTAGCTCTGGTGAGTTTTTTAGGGATGTTCCAATAACATAAATCCATGCTTAAGGTTCTGCTGAAAATATAACAGCAGCATGTGGTGTGTTTTACAGAGATGTGAACAGTTAGTTCCTTTCCACAGAAAGCAATTTGCATGTAGGCTGGAAAAAAATTGGTCTAATTTAACTAAAGGCATCTTCTCCCATAGGATGAAAGTGTTCTTAACTCTCTCCTTGCCTTTCCTCTGTTGCCAATATTTATGGAGGGCTGCTTAAAACTTGAAAACTTATTTTATTTTAAAGATTTAACACTTTTAGAAATGTTCTAAGCCTGTTTACCATTTAATGAGCTCTACACGTGTATCCCTCACCTGTCTGCTATGTGGATTTGTGTCAATGTTTTTGTCAACAAAATACAGGAGCAACTATCATGTACTGATATCACATAACAAACAGGTGGATTCTATTTACAAAAAAATTATATGCAATATTAACATTTTATTTGGGGTGTCAGAGCAAAGCAAGTATCACAATTTTATTTGTGAAATTTCGGAATACTATCCGTTAGTTTGTTGTGAATACCTTTTTAGGCGCATTGTAGCTGATCTTCCACTCCCGAACAGGAGGATCGGTCTTCTCAAGTTCAAACTCTTAAAACAAAAGACAGACAAATTAATTTAACCTTTTTTTAATGACGCTCAGATTCATGAATCTGCATAATTCTTACCCCTGCAAACTTGTTCCAATAGTGATTTTCCAGCGCCCAGGACTTCCGCCATTTTTGTTTACAGGGTTCATTAGCCGTCGTCAGGGATGCTGTTGCTAGGGAAGTGCGTAATAATTAACTTCCGATGTAAACAAGCACCTGGCACAATCACCAACAGCTTTGTTCTTAATTTCTCCCAGCACAGAACTAGTATCTGGAACAACCAATTCATAACTAGGAAAAATAAATCTTTATTTCTGAAACAATGGATTGACAAAGGAATACTCTATCTTAAGGATTTACAAAATAACAAAGGTAATATTTTTAGTTACGAAAAATGTCTTAAATCCAAAATCTTTCCTATTACCTATAAGGAATTTCAAATGGTGATAAATGATATTCCCGGTGGTATTCTCCAACTACTTGAGGTCATTTTGAAAGGCTAGAGGCAGAGAGAGTGGACCTCACCCTCTTTATTAAACTTTATAAGTCATCAATGTAACAATAAACATATAAGGAACTATTTTTTTTAGGAAAAGGGAAATTACCCTGAGAGGGAAATTTGTATGGTCCTCCTCTTTTTCTAATATTAATAACATTGCTCCTACCACACAAATTTGCTATTTCTAAGAAAAGAAAAGAAATCCAATATAAAATTATACATAACATTTACCCCACTAACGCTTTTTTTAAGCAAAATTTGTCAATATTGATGTCAACTGTGTATTCTATAATACTGAGGAGGAAACAATTAAGCACCTATTTTTTTTATGTCAATTTTCACAGATATTCTGGAAAGAAGTTGAGGTTTACATCATATCGCGCTCCAACACATCAATTAAATCACAAGCCAAAGATATTATCTTACAATATTCTAATAATGATAGGAAACTGCAACTCTTGGTTAAATTGATTATTCTAATTGAAAAATTCCACATACACAAAACCAAATTTTCCAAAGGTCGACCTTTCCTCCCTGTGTTTGAAAATGATTTAAAAATGTATCTCAATTGTATCCAAATAAAAAATGAATACACACTTTTAACGTAATTCAATATTTGGAGAAATTTAATATACCTTGCCTTTTTTTTCTATTGAAATTAGAGTATTTTATATCTTAATTTTAATTGTACTCCATCATTGAACACTTATTTTGGAGATACTGTTCTATATCTTGTGATATTTTTTGTCAATGTTTTGTAATTTGCAACTTTTCAATAAAGTTGTGGATTGAAAAAAAAAAGCACCTGGCACAACAGGCACCTGCAAACTTTTAATATTTATTATCATTGGATAGCTTGTAGCTTTAGACGTCAATTAGAATTGACGTCTAAAGCTAGAATGATATAGCAGCTACTTCATTCTTCAGTTACTTGAAAAAGCAGAGGTGACGGGATATGCAACTTGCATCTTAGAATAGTTCATAACACAGAAAGATAAACATTTTCATATCATAGAGCAATATGATAACACAAAACAGAAAAATTATTCATGTAATAGAACCATAATTAAAACTGCAAAGTGCATGTTTGCTGAGAAATCGGAAAATGTCGCATCGCTAGTACTGGCATTAACCACTAGATGGCAGCATGTGGCCTTTCCTATCAATGTTAAAACTGGATTCTCATTATTAGAGTGGGACCTATCTTAGCCAGGGAACTACATGTTTAGGATATATCCCTATTTTTTTATATATTTGTTATAATACGGTGACATGCTATCAATTATTGCCATTTATCTTAAGTTAATGACTTTTCATAAATTTATTTACAGTTTCTTCTCACAAAAGCTATCATTATAGTCTATGATGAAGTGTTGCAAGCCCTTGCCATGTGTCTGTTTACAAACCCTGGATAAAGCATTTCTAGAGTAAGTTAACAATTTTACCCCTTTTTAACACCTCAAAGGCCTTTTTCAATACATTTTCAAATTAATGAAACACCTAAAAAAAAAAATCTCTTACAATACAATCTTAATATCTTTACAGTCACATAATTAACTTTTTTTCTTTTCTTATAACCATCTATGTCTTTTGCTTGATGTATAGGGCTTTGGTTCCCTCTGTGTGAGTGATACTATTAAAATGTCTTACCTTAAAACTGTGTTTGGATAATGATCATTCAAATATTACCTGATTTTTTTTCTTTACCTTAAGTTATCCAATTTTTTATAATTTGTAATAATACAATATCCTTAGGATGAAAGAGTGCCAAAAAAGATATAAAAGATCAAAATAAATTTATTGGAATATATTCCAAAGCATTTAAGTAATCTCATGACTTAACAAAAATAGCCATTTATCTTAAAAAAAAAAAAAAAATGCACTGAACAGATTTAAACATAATATACACTGTCAAAACTTATCATTTGCGGCCACTAATAACTTGTTAATAAATAGGATTGTGAGCAAAACGTTTTTACAAATAGCATTTTTGACCTACCCAACAACAAATCTTTACATAGCCCATTTTGAACAAAAACACCCGTGCCACAAACTTTTTTTCTTAAAAATTTTTGCAGCACATCCTCTGTTGTGAATAATTCCCCAAATTAAAACAAACCAAAGAAAAACAATTACAATGAGCAACTGTAGAAATAATAGTAACATAATCATAATTATGACAGGATTTCTCTTTTGATAAAGCAACACTGATAAAAGTAGATATCATAAAGGAATCAACTATAAACAATGAAATATACAAATTACAATCCTTCAGGGTTTTAGAGTTTGAAGATCCTGTGTGAAGAGGGACACTTAGGCGAAGTAGAGGGGTAGAGAAAAAGATAAAACCAAACTTTGGTGAACAGGAGACATTTTTTTTTGTTTTCCTTTAGCTCCTAGATCTTGTCAAGAAGCTCCTGGCACTGGACTTAACAACACATTCATATATCATGCCGCACAAAAGAATTTATTTTAAACCTTCAACATTTTGTCACCTTAAAATCACAATAGTCATTGCATCTCAGTGGAGTTTAAGTTATTTACCAACACCAAGTTGTGCATAGTTAGGTTCATGATAATAATCTCTTAATAAAAAAAATCTAAACTGATCAATATTTATGTTGAGCTTATAAATCACTTTGAATTATACTTTAATAAGATGAACATTAAGTAGTGTTTAGTTAAAAACTGAAAGGAAAAGAATCCATGGGTTTCCATTTATCGGACTAAATAAGATTATAGGAATGTATGTTTTTGCATTCATGCCTGAAGAACCAGTTTATTGAGATGTTTACATCTAAACACATTATTTGTTGCCCCTTTTTGTAAAAAAGTTTAATCTCAGTCAAATCTAACTCTCCTTTAAAGAGTTTAAGTGATTAAATCTCAATATGTATCCAGCTGCTCTGTGAAAGACTCAACATCTGTTAATCGTCACAAAGACCAAGAAATGAAATCACAATCAAAGTAGTGGAGAATTTCAAATGAGTACTGGATAATAAACATCACTTTAAGCTTTAAACATTTAAGAGCTTTGCTTAATCTGTTATTCAGAAGTTTAGAAAAACTGCAAACTTTACAAATATATGCAGATTTACTAAAACTTAAGGGAACATTTTGCCCTAAAACATGCAGCGGACAGATCAAATCCAATTTAAACAGTTTTAAGCTACATTCAAATTCCTGTGTGACATCACCGTTGATGCAACCTCCCTACAGTGAAACAATGGTGGCAGTTCTGCACAGTGGGGATGCTTTTCTTAAGCAGGGTCAGAAAAAACTGCTAAACACAAAGCACACCTGGAAATTATTGTTAGAGACAGCAGAATATTAAAATCTTATTTAGAGGTTTACCACTTTGATGGAATGGCTTCTGTTAGAATGACCTGGTCAAAGATGAGACAAATTGAACTGATTATTTTCTGCACAAACAGAAGGCTGGTGTTCGCACATGTTCTTTTTGAATAGACTTTTTGTAAATAATGCACTTTAAATGTGAAAATCTAGCAGATAAACAGCCTCAAAGGAATAACAGCTGTACCGGTTATTGACTTAAAGGTTTAGAATAAAAATACACACCCTACTTTAGCTATTTAATAGAAAAAATGAAAACCATCCAACTTTTCCTTCCATCGTATACACTTTGGTGTTGGTTCATAACATAAAATCCCAATAAAACCTGTTAAAGTTTGTGACTTTAACGTAACAAAACGTGAAAAAGAATGCTTTTGCAAGGCACCGCATATGAAAACTTTAGTGTATGTTTCCCGGCGAGCCACATGTTAGCATGACTCCCTGCATTAAACGTAAAGCGGAATACCCTAAAGTTTGTATCACATACAGCTAAGGTCAGTGGTTTTATATCGTTGCCGTGTGTTAAAGGAAACTTGCGTTGAGGCTGCACTATAGAAACATTCAGGACTTGTCCACGGTTCTTTAACAGTCAGTATGGCGATGGGAAAGCATTCAAACCGAGCTCAACATGTGTCAAACTCAACCTATCGGTGGACTTCTTTAGTTTAGCTGCAGCAACTACAGGAGTGACATAATTCGACAGCATCTCAGGCAAAGAAAAGAAGATCTTCTTCCTAAAAATAGCAGATTCTTATGTAAAAAGAAACAAACCAGACGCAGATTGATAAGGTGATTGAGATGAGCCTGTAACTCCCACCCCATCTAAGTTGTCCACCTTCCTGTAGAGGGATGGATTTGTCGGCTCAGGGACGCCTCCCTACCCTCATGAGCGACTCAGTGCAATGAAAAGGGGACTTCTAGCTTCTTCTGTGGTTCCATTTCTTGCTGCGATCCTTTACAGTCCAGACACAAACATCCCTGTGATTATTTCAGCGTTTCATAAACCTACTTTTCATTCCATCTCGCCACATTTCTTTTACGTCCACAATGTCTCTGTCTTCATGGCTTTCATACCAAACTGTCCACACTGTGAGGTCCCCTCTGTTTCAAAGAAGCTGGCGGGAGTTATATACAGGTGGGGTGTTATGTAGCTTTATTAGTGTGTCTGCTGCTGGTTGCTTCATTCGGGACGAGGTTCTCCGTGGACCCTGAAGCGGTACAAGCACGTGTATTCTGGATGACCCCAGTTAGACAGAACCCGCACCTCGATAATCTGGAAAGATTTCTCGTTTTTCTCCTGAAAGATAAAACGGGAATTAATTTATTGTTTTAGGCAGAGACTTTAAGTGTTTTATTTACATTTGAAACGTATCAAAGTTGATTTGCAAGTTACCTTAACAGGAAAGATCTGCAAAGCCTCGCCATCCTCCTCATATGTGTAGTCCCCAAGCAGTGTTCCCTCCTCTTGGTACTCGTCATCTAAACCCTAGTAAATAAAATAATCAAAAATAATGATTTAATTAAATATTCACAGCCTTTTTTTAAGCTATGGGTTAAAGTAACTTACAAAGACAGTGAAGTTGCGTGGAGCACTGGTGATGTTTCCTGTGGGAGAGAGGGCCTTGGGGATGTGCTCCACACAGAAGGATGTGGGCAGGATCCTCAGGGATAGCCTGATCACCAGATAACCTTGAGAGCCTTTAAACGCCCAGCAGTTACCAGGATACACATCAGGCTAAAGGAAAAGAGAAAGGCAAAGGATTAAATCTTTTTTTTTTTTTAAGTGGTCAATTTAAGAGGTGTTAAAGTCTTCTTTTGTTTTGCTGTTTTCTCTCATTGTTAATTTTCCCTCTTTTGCGATATTACAGTGCTGGAGGGGTGCTCACCTGGATGACAACACGGGGAGACTGGGAGAAGTACCAGAGCGGCAGGCCGAACAAACTCATCAGGGCCGTTTTTGTCTCATACGTCTCAGAGCAGCGGGTGCTAAGGATGCTACCACCTGAGGAAACAGAGAAAACTGTTACACACAACATAATAGAACTCTCCTTATCTGGATTATTGAAGAACTTTAAGAAAATTCTATTTATATGAAATGGTCAAATACAGTGTATTCCTAAAGAACTTCAATCTCTTGACTTTTGTTATCTAATAAATCCAGGTTACGTGATAAACCAACACAACATACCCCCCTTAAGCTTCATTCACACCAAAGGCAGCAGGAGCAGCAAAAACGCGTCTGCTGCTTCCTTTTTGCTGCTTGTACCAGTTTAGTTCTGAGGCGCGGCTGAAGCAGCTTTGCTGCTCTGGCTGCGCGGTGGAAAAGTGGATCTGACGCGCCTTGGGCGGAGCTACTCTATCCTTTATTTGACTTGCAGCTATATTTGCTTTGATCAGTGGGAATAAAGTAGTTTTGATATGTTTTTTTTTTTAAGTGGGAAAAGCCACCTCAAAACTTAATCTGTGCAGTCAGTTCATCCAGATTACCATCTTGCCTTCCATTATTATTTCTCTCGGAGCCACTCAGACCAACACATACTGGCGGTGTGCTGTCAGTAGGAATCCCATTCAACAGCAGCCTCTGACCCGGTCGCCTCCTTGCGGTTCGCTGCGGCTGGAAGCGGTTTTCATGTACATAATCCAAACTGCAGGCACCAGGATAATAAAAGCGAACATGTTTTGCTGGCAGGTTTCTACATTTTAAGCTAATTTAGGCGTTAATTAACTATTTTAGTGGAGTGATCATAGCGCTCTGTGTCATCAGCGATGAGTCTGTCTCCCTGTCAGCTCCCAGATCAGCGTCTCTGGTTGATGCGGCGAGTTGAGCAGCAAAAGTTAAATTTTTTCATCTCGAGCAGCAGCGCGTTTGCGTCGTGTCGCACGCGTCAGATGCTTGAACGTTCCCAACGCGCTGCTTTAGCTGCTCAAAACGCACCGCGGGACCTTTTGCTGCGCCTTGACACGCGTCAACCATTGACTTTGCATGTTAACTCGCTAATTCTGCGGCTCCTGCTGCATTCGGTGTGAACGCAGCATAATAATGAAATGGAAGAACAAAGCTAAAAGTTTTCTCAGAAATGTTTACAGTTAAAAATCATTATTTCTAATTTTTCTTGTAAATACTTTAGTGTGAACAGTTGAGGACTGATTAGAAAGCTTCTGTGTTGGTACAGCTCCTCATCTGGATTTACGTGGGGACTTTGATTGGACCGTTCTAACATAGAACATGGTATAGTGGATTAAGCTCCATGTTCAGTGTTTAGAGCCACTGCTTCATAATCTAACCATGTTTTAACCTTGTCTATAAAATTCTCTGACCCGTCTCTCTAAATCCTTTACTGTACAGATACATTCATATCTTATCCCAAGTGGGGTCGCGAGGGATGCTGGTGTCTATCTCCAGCTGTCTACTGGCGAGAGGCGGGGTACACCCTGGACAGGTCGCCCGTCCATCGCAGAGATACATTTATACTGATCTCTAACTAGGCGCAAATCAAATGTTGATATTTTTTATTTAATAAATACAATGTATTATTTTTGTCCCACCTTATATATTTGCACTAATTGGTTTTGTCAAATTTATTTATCCCACAAAATACATTCAAGTTTGTGATTGCTATGTTTGCAGAGCACTTTATGGGTATTGTACAAGTGGTTGATAAACACAGGTGTAAAGGTGATGATTTTTTCTTTTTATTACTTATTTATGAAAAAAATGTTTAGAAAGGCAACATCTTTTCCTTTATTATCCCCAATTATAAGATCCTAACTTTGCATTTGAGCCAGAGGTCTTTCTGCACGCGGTTTGTATGCTCTTCCCAAACTTTCCATGTAAACAAACAGTATACATGCTATAGCTCTTTATGTTACCCTTAGTATTGGCTGTAAGGATAAAGTAGAAAGCATGGATGAATGGATGGGGAGACAGCAGATGTAAGTCGATTCACAAGAGTTTAATACCCTGCAGACTTCCAGCCTGCTAATGCCTTTGTCCTTATTACATAAGACATACGTTATGTAGTTATAGAACAGCTAGACTGCTAATCCCTTTAAAGCACACCAGAGTTAACTACTGACCTGGATACAGACTCAGGATGGACGTGTTTCCATCTTACCTCCAGACTCCAGGGCATAGTCCACCTGACCTGTCCGGTCTTGGGAGTAAAGCTTCAGGGCGTTCTGAACAATCAGCTTCACATGCTTTTTTGTATCCAAATAACAAAACAACAGTTTGTGTCAAACAAATTGAATTTGTCTTATTACATTTTCAGATGAAGAAGTGAATCCTTAAAAGCAGGAGTTTCTCTTACTTACCTCCTCAGAGAGGCCCTCCGCTGTAGACGTGTGCTGAACCGTCCCCGTTAGCGTCTGAACGATGCTTCTGGTCCTGGTCTCGGCTTGGTTTAGTGTCTGAGCTTGGCTTTGCTCCAGTTGTAATGATATGTTTTTCAGGATGCTATGCTCGATGGAGGCCAGAGCCGCCTGCAGGTCGGGCGTGCTCACATAACGCTGTGACAGCCATTGAATCAGAGATTCAGGGATTTCCCCCTGCTGCTCTGCTGATGAACCTCTGCCAAAGAACAGAGACTGTAGCTCTTTCCTCAGCTGCAAGGAAACTTGACCAGATATCTAAAGAGGAGGATTTGAAAAAGAAGGAAATCTTGATCACCAGGGAGTTTGAACTCTTAAAGAACATTACTTCGAAGCTGGAAAGTGTGTTATTTACAGTCTCCTGCAGTCCATCCAGCTGCTCACATTTGCCCTTACATCCTGCCACGCCCTGCAGGTCCCCCCTGATTTTACCCAGCTCTGCTTCAAGTCTCTGCACCTCAAGCAGCAAAGCATCATGGTCCTCCTGCTTCACACTCACACTGACAAAGAGACAGAAAACTACACATTAAACATTTTAACACCAAAAACTTCAACCAAGAAACCAGAAATAAATGTGTTTTCATTTAAGTTTTGAGATTTAGTCATTTCTCTTTTCCTCTGTACCTGACAGGAGGTGAGACTGCAGCAGATTTAGAAACTTTCTCCCTTTCATCCCTCTTCTGCTCATACTTCTGTTGGTTCTGTTGCATCTCCTATGATACACACATGGAAAGCTTCATTGAGAGCATTCATTTGGATTTCTATTTGCTGTTTTTTGTTATCTAATCTGCATCCTCTGTGTTCACTTGATGAGGATGAGGATGTGGCCTTGTAAGGATGCTGGAAACTTGCTGTGCATACCTCAGTCTTGGTTGCCAAAGCCTTGAGCAGCAGCTCCAGATCAGCCAGACGTGATGACTGACTATCATGTTGCTCTTTCTGCAGCTCTAAACCCTGCAAAACAAACAAATAAAAACTGATTTAACAGCTAGACTTGATGAAACTGAAGGTGGGTGTAACAAATAAAGCTTTATGTTCAACGTTTGCAGAGGAAACTAAAACCAGACTAGATTTCAACATCCGATTCTACAGGTGCTGGTCATAAAATTAGAATATCATGAAAAAGTAGATTGATTTGATCTGTGTCTATTTGTTGGAAGTTGACTCAAATTGGATAAAAACGGTGAGACAATGGTTAAAAGGAGTTGAGGGAGGAGTTGATATGAGTGTATGCATAAAGGAAAGTCTGTGTGAAGCTGGTGTGAAAGGTATACTATTTACCTCATTCTTATTATACAGCGGTGCATAGTATGTCTCACACATCTTAAACAGAGAATGGTGCAAATTATTCAATATTTATCTGAAGAAACCCTCTCCACCTTCTCCTCCTCCTGTTTACCATGCTCCTTTGCCTGGCCTCTGTAAACCATTTAGCAGGCACGTAGCCACTTCTCTCCTGCCCCCACATGCCCAAGTCTGCATACAGATTGCCCTCACACTGCTGGCACATGGCCATGTCAGTATGTGTAGACTGGATATGCCTGCAAAACGAAAAACTTTCACCTGACAGACTATTAAGTCACAAAGCTGTAGGGAAATTACTTGTATCGAAATAGATGCATATCATTTAATCTTGCAAATGCACCAAGTATAATGGCCATCTGGGTCTGCAACTCAGATTAAATGCAGAGCTAATTCCTCCTTGCTAATTTTAGCAAAGTGCAGACGTTCTCATAGAAAATCAGGAAGCTCTTGGAGTAATGAAGGAAGTCCAAAGAAAGAACGAGAATATACTACAGGTGCTGGTCATAAAATTAGAATATCATGAAAAAGTAGATTGATTTCAGTAATTCCATTTAAAAAGTGAAACTTATATATTATATTCATACATTACATACAAACTCATATATTTCAGATGTTTATTTTGTTTAATTTTGATGATTACAAATGACAACAAATGAAAATCTCAAATTCATCATATCAGAAAATTAGAATATTACTGAAGACCAATAAAAACAAAGGATTTATAGAAATGTTGGCCAACTGAAAAGTATGAACATGAAAAGTATGAGCATGTACAGCACTCAGTATTTAGTTGGGCCTCCTTTGGCCTGTATTACTGCAGCAATGCGGCGTGGCATGGAGTCGATCAGTCTGTGGCACTGCTCAGGTGTTATGATAGCCCAGGTTGCTCTAATAGTGGCTTTTAGCTCTTCTGAATTGTTGGGTCTGGTGTATTGCATCTTCTTCTTCACAATACCCCATAGATTTTCTATGGGGTTAAGGTCAGGAGAGTTTGCTGGCCAATTAAGAACAGGGATACCATGGTCCTTCAACCAGGTACTGGTAGCTTTGGCACTGTGTGCAGGTGCCAAGTCCTGTTGGAAAATGAAATCTGCATCTCCAAAAAGTTGGTCAGCTGCAGGAAGCATGAAGTGCTCTAAAACTTCCTGGTATGTGGCTGCGTTGACCCTGGACCTCAGAAAACACAATGGACCAACACCAGCAGATGACATGGCACCCCAAACCATCACTGACTGTGGAAACTTTACACTGGACTTCAAGCAACGTGGATGAAGTGCCTCTCTTCTTTTCCTCCAGACTCTGGGACCTTGATTTCCAAAGGAAATGCAAAATTTACTTTCATCAGAGAACATGACTTTGGACCACTCACCAGCAGTCCAGTCCTGTTTCTCTTTAGCCCAGGCAAGACGCTTCTGACGCTGTCTGTGGTTCAAGAGTGGCTTGACACAAGGAATGCGACAGCAGAAACCCATGTCTTTCATACGTCTGTGTGTGGTGGTTCTTGAAGCACTCACTCCAGCTGCAGTCCACTCTTTGTGAATCTCCCCCACATTTTTGAATGGGTTTTGTTTCACAATCCTCTCCAGGGTGCGGTTATCTCTCTTGCTTGTACACTTTTTTCGACCACATCTTTTCCTTCCCTTCGCCTCTCTATTAATGTGCTTGGACACTGAGCTCTGTGAACAGCCAGCCTCTTTAGCGATGACCTTTTGTGTCTTGCCCTCCTTGTGCAAGGTGTCGATGGTCGTCTTTTGGACAACTGTCAAGTCAGCAGTCTTCCCCATGATTGTGTAGCCTATAGAACTAGACTGAAAGACCATTTAAAGGCTTTTGCAGGTGGTTTGAGTTAATTAGCTGATTAGAGTGTGGCACCAGGGGCCATCAATTTTGAACCTTTTCACAATATTCTAATTTTCTGATATGATGAATTTGAGATTTTCATTTGTTGTCATTTGTAATCATCAAAATTAAACAAAATAAACATCTGAAATATATGAGTTTGTATGTAATGTATGAATATAATATACAAGTTTCACTTTTTAAATGGAATTACTGAAATCAATCTACTTTTTCATGATATTCTAATTTTATGACCAGCACCTGTACATAGATTGTGAATGATTTCAATGTATACAGACACATTTTATACATATGTTTTATTATACAGAGCTCTAATTTTTCAGCATTACATCAAACCCCTTCCAATTATTTCCTTCTGTGTGGAAGAAAAATACAGCAGTACAGTTGTCTATACTTATGAGAGACAGATTGGCCTATTTAATTTGCACTGCATGGATTAACAAGCATTATTTCATTTTATATTTATCTGATGGCGAGTTACAACCTGTCGACATGCAAGAAATATTTTTAATTCTAAAATATTTAATATGTTTTGTTGGTCATTTAAATGTGTTGAAATGATTTTAATCTATAGCTATACATTAAGCTTTTTAAAAACATTTAAATAGTTTAGTTTGCACCATTTCATGTTAAATTTTCTTCTGTGAAATGTAAATTTATAAGATCATATATTCAGTTTACTAATAAACATTTGAGCATATTTTACACTTCCATTAATGTTAGATCTAAACACATTCGTATATAAAAATGTTATATATTTTTTGTTATTACGTGAAGCAATAGTAACCTTTTGTGCCCATAAGTTTTATATTATTTTAAATTTGCCTTTTTGGAAGATGTAACCAGTAACTATAACTAATTTATTTTCTAAAGCACTTCGGACAAAACTGGCAGGACCAAAGGCTGTTAAGGATGATCAAACCAACCTGTGCTCTGTTTTTGCTCTCCTGCTCCAGCTCTCCTCGCAGCACCCCCAGCCGCTGCTCTATCAGAGACGACACCCACACCTCAAAGCTCTCCCTCTCATTCTGACTGTGGAGCTGCTCTCTCAGGGAGCTGTAGAGACCCAGAATGTCACTGTGACGCTGATCCTGCTTCTGGTCTCCCTGCTGGACTTTGTCCCACAACAACGCCAGCTGTTGCTCAACACGTTCGAGACGCTCCAAGTCCACCGTACTGTGGACGCCGACTGGGGGAAGGATTGGCTGAGAGGGAATATAAATCAGATATAATTATAATAATCTGAAGTCTTACTCTTAAGCAATACAGATGCTAAATACTCTAGCTTGTAAAGGCATGACACATTAAACATTTTGTAAAATTTTCCCTAAAAAAATGTACATGGATTTCCATTATACTTTACTTTACTATGAGTTGCACCAAACTGAAGTCAGAATATAAGTAATTAAAGTCCATTTCTGTATAATTTAATCTAATTTAAAATTAGCTGTTCAGTAAGACTCTGACAATCTGGGCAAGCGAAACAGCAGACAGCTCAGGGAAACATTTAAGAATGGGAGGTTATGATAAAATACATAAGTAATATAAGACATTGCCTACAGCCGTCTACAGAGCACTTTTTACATAAAAAAACAAAAACCAAAAATTATTTTTTGCATTTTACAATAATGCAGATTTCTTGGGGTCAATTATATAAAACTTGAAAGCAAACTACTAAACTCTTTGGTTGTGAGAAAGTTTAAAAAGGTTTATAGATGTTATTTATTTTCTTTTTTTCCAGCGTAATATTGTCATTATATTGTGACAAGTACAGAGCAATGAAATTAACTCTCTGCATTTAACTCATCCTCTTGGGGAGCAGTGGGCTGCCATTGTGCGGCGCCCGGGGAGCAGTGTGGAGTTAAGGGTCTTTGTTCAGGGAGCCAGAGTGGGAGTGAGGCTTGAACTCAGAACCTCAGATATTCCAAGCGCAATACCCAAACCACTAGGCCGCCACTCCCCAAAGCAGGCATTAGCCTAAAGGGTCTTGCACAACGGTATACATTTCTCTTAACTAAGGACCCACAATGGCAGCTTATTACCCCAAACTGGGATACGAATCCAGGCCTCCTGTTTGCATGACGGCATGACTTAACATTTAAGCTAGCCAGCAGCAATGAACCAGTTAATATTAAGGTTACTAATTCCAATGAAGCACTGAGGCTACTCACTGTTGCTTGGGAGACTGGAGTGACATGAGCCTGCTCCATGGGAGACTCTGTTGCAGGGACAGCAGCAGGAACAGCAGCCAAGTTCGAGAAGTAGGTGAATGAGGATCTAGAACGCCACTCAGTGAGGTTTATGGCTGGAAGGTAGGCAAGCAGAGCAGCGGCGGACGGAAGCCACCACCATAAAACTGCAGGAGGACAGAAGAACATGAGCTTAAATGTTCCTTAAAAGAGAGCTCTTTTATAGCAGTCTTTGTCTCATTGGTTAAACATTTTCTAAACATTAAGGTTACTAATTTCAAATCCTATATTGGAATATTGACATTTAAAATTAAATGTGCAGCAAAAAAAGAGCAAATAAGATTGAAAGGTTTTGATTCATAAACTTTCAACATTGTGTAAACTATATTTGAAAACTTATTGAAAGGATACATTATTAAAATGTATCACCTGAGAAATATATACTGTTTTTTAATGTCTGATCTACAGTGAAATCTCAGAAAGGTTGGCCTGTTTCTGCTGCTACATTTACAGCACTCTAGAGATCTGGGCTGGTTCCAGTATTTGCACATCTTTCTGTGTGTGCTGACTAGAGTAAATGGATTACATCTAGTTTAAAAACTGGATGATTCACTCACGCAGAAGGAGCAGAAGGAGCAAGAGGAGCTTCCAGAGTTTGGGAAGGCATCTGAAACACAGAGGCACACGCTGAATATTACAACTGATAAAAACAAAATAATAATATAAAGAATTGAGACCAGAAAAATCCAGATTAGAAACCGTAAAATGTTCTTTAGTCAAATATTTAAAAATGATTTAAGTAGAGATTTCTTTTTTTTATTTAACTAATCTTTTTCTATATTGCACATTTTCTGGAGCATATTGGAAAATAAACTTAATTTAGTGGAAAATAGCCACTTTTATTTATTCTTTAGAGTCATATATAATGCATATTAATAAAAAAATATCAAACCTATTTATTATTCATTCACATTATAAAAGGGAAGCAATCTTACTGAGTCAGAAAGAAGACGTTGAGGAAAGACATGAAAGACACCATCTGGTACCATCCTGTTGCGAGAAACCACAGCAGTCCCTTTCCTGCCTTCACTAAAAGTGGTTGAAAATGCAAAAATTATTTAAACAATCAGACAAAAGAAGGGATTGAGGATATTTTTTAGAGAAATTAAGAAAAAAACGTAACCTACCGGGGGTTGCTACGATCATCCAGAAGAATGAGAGGAGCCTCTGTGCTGCTGAGGTAACTCCTGAACCTAAAGCTTTACCAGCCCCAAGCACACAGTGACCAGGCTGCAGCAGACAGGAACCTGCAATGCAACACAAAGTGAATGAGGTTCACCAATAACATCCGCACATCTTTTTTACAAAGATATTCTTTTACACACGTCAGTGTAATGGAATGATCAGCGTTAGTAATGAAGCTTCAGTTAACCTGCATAAGCTAGGAGGCTCCACAGCGCCCCCATGAAGCGCCTTGACCTAGAGGTCTGTGTGAGGACGACCGTGTGAGACTCAGTGTACTGCTTTCCTTTACAGTCATCACCTGTGTTTTCAAAATAATGGACAGCAGAGAAGCAGAAAGCAAACATAAGCAAACAAAAGTAAAGAAGCTGCATGAATAAATTATTCTGCAATGTCTGAACATAAATGAGAATCAAGCGCCTATAGCAAACTATAGAAAATTATACAATGATAACAGCTGCAAAGCTTGATGGAAAACATTAACATAACCTTAAGAACACCATTCTAAAAAAAAAAAAAGGTTTTTGTCTTATCAGCTTGTTTAATGATTTAAAGGTGAAACTAGTTTGTGTCGTCGCCTCGACTTGAGCAGAAAGAAAGCGATTAATCACATGAAGAATCTATTAATAAAGGACCCAATCAATAGTTTTTATTTTTTGCAGCCCAAATAAACCTGTGTATTTATTAGTTAGCTTTGGTTTCCTTTTCCTTACAGTTTATCGGCTGGATTTAATGATTGAAATACTCCTCAAGAGAATCACATTGACTTTTAAAAGTATTTTGTTAAACTTGAGACCCTATTTATATGGTGATTAAAGTCTGAGTTGATTCTCTGTATCAGAACAAATTATGTTTCTCAGAAGTCAGGAGGGAATTAAATGTGTCAGTTACACATTTCCTTAAAAAACATTTTGTGAATCCATTATTTTGATTGGCTGATAGGTCACCAGTTACAGCTCCTAAAAGCTGTACTTAGTTTAAAGACAAAGACAGAACCAAGCCTTCAGCAAGCCTTTGTCTATCAGAGTGAGAACAAGGACCTATTCCCCTGTTAGGATGGTTAATGTGTTCAACATTTGTTTTAAAGCCATTCAATTTTGATTAATCGACACTTTGTGATTTCTATTGTAATATTTTTGCATATTAAATTCATGTATTTACAAACCTTCAAGCCACGCATTACAAGCCAACTAAAACGTGAATACAATAACCGTAAGAAGTAGGTACCTGCTATGCCTCTTCACTTTCCATCCAATTTCCTTTATATATATTTTCTTTAAATAAAATAAACAGACTAATAAAACAGACATGCATCATAATCACATACTATGACGCATTTTAAAAAATGATGCTTTTTAGAAACCCTATAAGGATTAGTAAGGTTTGGCTTCACTTTCTGCAGGTCATGAAGGTCAACAGGCTGCAGAGCAGTTGGAGCAGTTCACACAACCTCTGCCCACTGCTCCTGACACGGGGCATGCATATCATTGACTTTGTCAATCAGGAACCCCACACAAAGAGAAAAGAGACCATGTGTTGTGTCTGCTTACATAGGGAGCCATTGAGATTAAGATGGGAGGTTTCTTCCGTCACCAGATCCTTCACGTTCATGCTTCCACAGAAGCTAGAGTGACCTGCAAAACACAAATGACAGATTAATTTTCATGATGAAAGTTTTTTTGTGCCAAGCATCATGGAGAACACTCTAGAAGCTGAGGAAACCATGATGACACAAGATTGACTGCGGAGGAAATTTAGCTTTTGCCGTGAAGCAAGCAGGCATGAAACCAGTGAAGAGAATGCACAGAAGAACCTGCTAGAAACAGGAATAATAAATAAAGAAGTGAAAATGAACCATCAGAGAAAATACAATCCCTGCCTCTGTGGAATGAATGCAATTAAGGAAAACATTGGATAGAAACATATATAAAAAAACCTGCTTTCCATTTATGGGAAGAGGATTTAAGGACTTCTTAAAAAAAAGCATAATCGTTAAAATACTAGGTTTAAAAGGGTTTTAGAAGTTGACCTTAAAGGGACTGGTCAAATGCATATCTACTCTCATAATTGAATTTAACATAATGAAGTGCAACAGGTGTTATGGTGTGTCTGAAGACTTGAAACAATGGTGTGGCAAGTTATTTTGATTCCTGTACAATTCCCCTTTCAAAAACAGAAAAAGGTGTGAAAGTGAAAGTTGATCACAAAAAAAAAGAGGAAGACTATAACATTCATCAAAGGCTCACAAACTTTGTAAGGAAGCAGCCATCTACTGTATCTCTGCAGCAGTTTTCTATATGGTTCAACAAAAAAGTAAAAGTTTAGAAAGTAGAGAAAGTTCATTAAAGGGAGAGAAGCAGAAAACCTAGAGCTGTGATTTTTCTTTTCTCCAGCGAGCCAACGGCAGATACCTTGTTCTTCAAAGCCATACACCTTGGAGCCCATCATCCTGTGGAGGGCAGTCTGCCTAAATAGCCACAGGTTGGACAAAGAGGAGGACCAGGCTTGTCTCCAGGAGTCTGAGAACGAGGCCTGGACACCTGCTGACACATCCGACGAAACCCCTGTCCACATAAGCACCGTTAGTTCAAATTGAGACCAGATTAATGGAGAGAAACAAAAACAGTGCCTTTGCAAATGTATTCAAACCCCTTGAACTTTTGTTGAATGTTGCTTGTATTTTTCTGACCACCTTTACTGTCCCTGCAGAGGAAAAGTGAGTCCAAAGTCTAATGCTACAACTACCATGCATTCATGTGATGTAAGTATTAGTTTCCTGAAACTAGAGATCAATATTTTAGCATCAGACATGGTGTTCTAGTACTGCAGTGGCAGAGCCAGGTGGCAGAAAACTGATGGGCAACAAAACCAGTTTAGGGTCAATCTAAACTAATCACACTAAAAGAAAACAAAACATCGATATTCACATAATAAATCAATAAAGACAAGAGTAGATTTTCAGAAAGCCCTCGCCAATAAATCTACAAAAAATAATTATACAAGTATGTTGTCTAAATTGGTGAGGGGTTCTGGCTGGAGACCTTATCGATCAGGACACTTTGTTGCAGATCTGCATAATGGTGAACTCCTTCACTGTCAGGAAGAAAAATCAGTCCAAACATTCAACCTGAGAGTATCACTGCTGCCAACTTCTGTTTGAGAGTTGAACCACTGGTTCGGGAAGTTGGAAAGTATGGGATGGCCACTGATTTGCTATTGATGGCCAGCGCCGACCCTGGCCCCACTTCTAGCTCCACCCCTGCTACAAAAGCTTCATCATCACTGGTGTATAAGACAAAACAAAACAGGAACTTCTCTACTATCTCCCTTCATTCTGAGGCATTAAAGAACAGGGGATATTGGTGTAAAATGGAGTAGATAAATAAAGGAAACATTTTCAAATTTCTTTTAGTAAGTAATGAAAAAGAAACACATGAATCCGCTCCCTTTTGCTTTAACATGAAGTCCTACCATGCAACATTTCATTAAAACACAATTAAAGATTTTAGTTGCAATTTGACAAAACTGGATAAAGGTTCTAGGAGTATGAATACTTTTAGGAGGAACTGGAAAAATAAAAAAGATTATCAGTAAGGATCAGGAAGAGAAGGTAATGACAGAAATTCAAATCCAAAACATATCCAGACAGCAGAAATAGAGGAACAGACTGATCGAACAACAGGAAAGAGTGAAATGAACAAGAAAAATAAAAACTAGAGAGCCAATGATCAGAGGACTGGATACGGAGAATAAAGGGCTGATGGATAAAAGAATACCTTTTCCTGCTGAGCTCCTGGTCTTTGTAACCAGCCAGACCAAACTGCTGTAGAAGATGGAGACTAACGACGCGATGGGAGCCAGGGCTTTTTTGCTGTAGTGCATACATGAGTTCCCCATTGACATCAGGACACCTTTGGAGAAACATCACTAATTATTAACATTCTCCTTCTCACGTCATTCATCTGCTTATACTGGGTTAAACATTCTAGCTCAAATAGTTTCACATTAAAACATTTTCTTACCCGTCTTGTTCCTTCGACTTCTGTCCCTGGTATAAATACTTGTGTAAGGTGAAGATACGGAGGAGAGGACATCAGTGGAGAGTTCCGCTGTTTGGCAGGGCGATGAGGATAATGATGACTGTGTGATATGGGAGTCCGTTTTCTGAGAGTGAAATGAACAATCTTTGCAGATGTAACCGTTAGGTAGCGAGGCGTGGGACTTGGAAACGCTGGCATCTCCATTGATGTTAGATGAACTGTGGCTGGAGCGCTGCCCTGAAGCAGATAGAACAAACAGAAAATTGAACCAAGTTGATTTTTAAGATAATAGCTTAATTGCGAAACGTGGCTTTTCTGAGGCAATTAAGCACTTAAAAATGTTCTGTGATCAAATCTGTGTTTTTTTCATCTCACCCCACTGTCCATCCACAGTAGTGGTTGTGGTAGTCGTGGTGGTGGTTACTCTGCGCTGCCTCAGAGATTGCTGAGATTGATCCTGAGCCGACGCCAGCAGTGAGACGTCAGACGTTCTGTCGCTTTCATGAGTGGTTCTGCTGCTGTCGATCGGGGTACTAGCAGCTGAGAAGGACAGGGTTTGTCTTGGTGTTGCTATTTGGCTCAGGGATAACGACATGGAACTGGACGTAGACTGCTGCTTTCTGCTTCGTGACGTCCTGGGAAAGAAAAAAATAAAATAAAAAATGAGCCATGCACTGTGCTGCATGTGATTACATATCTGAGACACGATGAGAACATTAAGATTCTCACACAGGTCAGATGATATAAGATGGTAAACTGTACAATGCATGATGGCTTTGAAGACCAACACTGTGCGAACAAATATGTACAAATCAGATGGCTGGGGCTTATTGATTAATAGGGTTCCTACGAGTTAAGAAAAGTTACATTTAAAACTTTTAAGACCACTTAGGATAAAATTGAATATCCATTTTATGGGCATATGAACAAAAAAAAAAAAAAAGAGCCTTCCTGGAATTTAACAAAATGTATTTATTTAAATCAGGCTGAATTTCAGTTGCCAACTACACACAAAACTGTAATGAAATGTGTATAAACACAGAAAAAATTAAAGGCGTAGATAAACAGCCGTTCCAATCGTTGCATTTCCAAATCTCCTGAGTGATGCACGACTTTACACGAGTGAATAAAGTGAATGTGATTGGTCGTTTACCAAGAGGGCAGGATTATTGTGGCGGAAGTTTCGAAATCAAGTTTGATTGTGGCTGGTGTCTCGGAAGCATCTTGCTAACCAGTTAGCAACTTAGTGCTAGTAGGATCACAATGGGAAATTACACCAGGACCAAATAGCACTAAATTGGTGAGTTAGAAATTAAACTATCAAGGAACGCTATGGACAGCGGAAATATGCAAGAGGAGAGTTTTGTGTCAGAGGTCGTGGACAAGCCTCCCTCGTAATAAATTTTTTACTTAGAGGAGGAAAGTGGGGACGAAGATGCTGTGGAGGATGTTCTCTCTCTGTCTCCTTGTCTACTTGTCGGTCTAAAGGGATACAAGCCCGTTGAGGTAGTTTAAAGTGTTTTTTTTCGAACATACTGTAACTAAAGGAATAAACAGGGATGAACTAAATTGATAAATGGGACTAGTATACACGTATGGAAATCTAACATCTTGCGCATGCGTATTGACCATGGATATGCTGGTCTGATGGGGTATGTTGATCTGACAGAACACTGGATACACAAAGTACACCAACGTTAATGTTGGTCACAACTTTCTTAGTTCTGCTGCATGTACGGTCGTTCGCAGATCAAAGTGAGGCATGAGGAATCTTGCATAACTACAACTCCAGCGCTCACATAATGTTTGTGCAGTGCCAAGCTAATAGCTGTCAGCCATCTAGACTTTTCTGAAAGTCTTATGTAGATCTCCAATGGTGCATTTCTAATAAACAATCCAGGACTTAGCTTGGTGGCTTGCTAGACTTATAATACGCTATGACATTAAATTTAAATGTGTAAATGTAAGACGAAAGATTTTTAATACCCCACGGGAACCCTGGTTAAATCTAGAGAAAGAAATTCCTATAAAAAAAATATATATACGTATAGATTTTCGGTGGAACACGAAAAAAGCGTCAGCAAAGCAGTTTCCAAATGAGCAACAGCTAGTGGGATGTTAACAGGTCAAAAAAAGCTAATTTATTGGAAAGATCCCTTTTTTCGTTTACCCTAACAGCTAATTTATAGTAGTCTGATTTTTATTTATTCGTTAGTTGGTGCATGATTTTTGTTGTTTAAACAAAGTCTGATCAGTTTGAATTTTTTTGTGTGTGCGCACACAAAGGAAAAAAAAATCAACTACAACTATGCGTCACAATTTAGTGAAAAAAAGGATAAAATCAAAGAAAATCAAAGAAAGACACAAAAAATATATCTAAGGGGTCAAATGTTACCAATTCTCTTCTTACATCACTTCATCAATATAGTCTGCCTGTTTTTGTTTTATTTGTTTTACTTTTGTAAGAAAGAGTTTTTATAAGGGGTATCAGAGTAAAGTGTTTGAATACAAAGATATATTGAACTTCTTAGAGAAGAAGAGCAAATTTAATAAGCCTTAGTCTTAACAAATGACTTTGTGCTGGTTTATCACAAAAAATAAATAAAATTTAAGTTTATGGTTTCAATTTTAAAAAGCTAAGCGTTTTCAATGTGAATTAGTGCTAATGTGAGTTACTGTAAAATGCAGTCAAAATAAAGGAGGAAAGCAAGTTAACATCTGAGTTTAATCAAGTCGTCAAAACTTTTAACAGAAATAAATAAAAGAAAAAAAAAATTGGAAATCAAAACCACATAAATCAACTAAGTTTGTAAGATTGGATATAAATTAAAATCCAACCAGAATTTAACAATGCAGCTGATAAGAGAAAGTGTTCAGAAAGCGTTGACTGACCGTCCCTCCTTCCTGGTGCTGGTATAGCTGCTTGTGTGGTTCTGCGAGTAATCAGCCCCACTCTCCGTACCATAATAACTGGCACTGTTCTGCAGACGCAGGCTCCGCCGTGACATCTTAGGCGACTCGTACACAGGAGCAATCTGGTGCTCCTTCTCAAACTCTAATGCTGCAGTGGAGTAACTTGAACTGGAACAAGAGTGACAAAGAAAGAAGGCGAAAACAGAATTAGAAATCTGTAAAAAAAAAACACAATATCATCAAGCAGCATATGAGACCCAAGATAGGCTGCTTCTATTTACTGTACCGAAATATATTTAGAAACAAGGATGAAAGACCAAAAGGTTTTAGCCGACAACACAAATCTCCTATTTTAATTTCAAGTTCCTCATCTTTAGCATCTCAGTGTAAGAGATTTCTTAAATGAAAACAAACACAGGCTTTTTATAGTGCTGTTATGCTGCTGGGTTGTTCCCAACAGGAAACTACTCACTCACATGGGAAAGAAAGAAGAGAAAAAAACGTCTCTAAAGGCAAAGACCAAGACAAATATACGAGGCGAATATCCCCAACGCCATGAGAAAAAAAAACTCAGCTCACTGCTATTTAATACGTTAAGAGGAAACATACCGTGAATGTTCAGTGGCATGCCTTACTGTGACTCAGAGGGCCACACCCACATCTCTGAGTGGGCTTTCTGTGCCAAAACTTAGGCATGACTAACAGGCCACATCTGCAATAATTCTCTCAGAGTTATTAGTTCCTCTTAGCTGGTGAATTCAGAACATTGTAAATGGAAATCTGAAATGTCAGTGTGTTTTGTTTTTTATCTATTTGTTTTTGTTGCTGATTGATTGATATTAAGAGGGTGAAAGTACAATAAGTCTCTTTGACCAGATGAAAGATAACAGCCGTCATGTTACACACCTGACAATCAGCTATGCTCACTGTTTACAAAAAAGCTGCTAGTTTTATCATTAGGGCAGAAGCTGCTGTGTGTGTGTGCACATTGGCTATATATTACATCTTACTTTACTGCTCCAGCTAACTAGGTTGTAAATTCCAGCAGAAATGTTTGGTCTTGCACAAGGGTTTTTTTCTCTGCAACTCAGTCTGGGAATAAAATTTAAGGATTACACACCCTGACAGGGCCAATTATGCACTTTCAGCTTGAGCCTGCCTCCTACGTGCTTAACCAACTGTCTCCTCTCTAGTTAAAACACTAGGACCAGTTTCCTGCTCTGCATGTTGGGTGGAATTTACCTGCTGCTGAACGTTGGACCAGTTGTTGGTAATATAAGCAAATAAGCCCAGCTGCGCAGAAGGCCTCAAACAAACAAACTAAAGGAATCCAAACTGATTCACTTTTTCCCTCCATACTTGCATATTTATGCATGAACCTCCTTTATTGGGAGTTTTATGCCAAACCCTCAAAGATTTGTGTAAACAAAGTCCGTTTCATTACTGTGTTTTTAAAACATGCTAGTGATCTGCAATCTATTTTGCCGCATCATATCCCATTTTTACATGTAGTTTGTTTTTGTATACATCTCTTGAAATTGTATTGCTGCTGATCTCACTGGAAAAAAACTTGTTTTCCAACATACAGTCACATCCTGAGCCAAAGCAGCCGCGTTAATGAATAAATATCCATAAACATTAAAAGGCAAAATTATCTAATACCGATGCCAACTCATGTGTAGTCCTATCCTAGGGCTTAGTGATAAAGAAACAAATGCTGTAGCCTACAGCCACATACAAACATTACAATACACGGCTCTGCAATAGTATTTTTACCCAGTGAACTACTTTACAATTGATCACAATGCAACAAACTTCAATTTAGGATTTTAGTCAATAAATCAACACAAAGCAATCCTTATTTTGATAAGTAAAAGTGAAATGATTAATGGTTTTCAATATTCCTCTCTCTCGTTTTTTGTTTTAACACGTGAAAGCTAAAAAAGCGGCCCCTCTGTCATTTATAGTCAGAATTTTGAGTATACTGAGTATTCTGCAAAATGTCTACTTCAGCTTTTTATATCTACAGACCAAAACTTTTCCGTGTTCCTCTTTACAAAACAGTTAAAACACAGCTATAATAAAGAGGCTCAGTAAACAGCAACATTCAAGGTAAAAATTATCAACTGAATTTAGGTCTGGACTTTAACTATGCCATTCCAATACATGAATATGTTTTGAAGCAAATCTCAGTTACCAAACTCCAGTTCTTGAGGGCCGATGTAAGATACAGCACTGGTCCACCACAATGAGAAGAAAAGGCTTAATCACTTCCTCATTGTTAATCAAGTTCTACAGATATTTGCTGATGACCTAATAATATAATCAGAGGAACTGAATGGTTATCAGTGCTCAGTTAAATTACTCCCAGAGGGGGACACTATTAAATAGTTAGGTGAAATACAAAAGATATGTCCCAAATTATTTACAGGTATCAAAGTAATGGAGGCTGAATTTATGTGATTCTTACACTTTTCCAATTTTTATAAGTAAAAGTTTTGTGATATGATGACCATCACATAAATCTTTTCTCCCCTCCCCGCCTTTTTTTAATTAAAGTCGCAACAGGTCAGATAACAACAATGTTAAAGGAGGAGCTCTTGTTTCCTCAGTAATTCTCAGTAGTGCTTAATTAGATCACAAACTCATTTGCTCTTATTCTCCAGGTTGATCTGTGTGTCGCTTCTCTGGGAGGCGACATTCACAGCCCACATCGGGGATATAAATAGAGAAGGACAAAGTAGATTTAGAGGCAGGAAGATACACTGATAAAGAGCCAAGCCTAGAGAAAAAATACAAATAAAACATTCCCATCAGGATAACAAGCTTGCTAAAATAACATGTTACATAACACTATAGGTTTAAGTCATCTTCCCACATTTTTGTGGGCACAGTCAAACTTTCCTTCATGTTCAAAGTCATTGTTATTAAATGAGTTGAGCTGGATGCAGGGCACTTCTGAGTATCCACAAAGAGGATATAATGTAAGGCTGCAACTAACAATAATTTTGCAAATCGATTAATCTGTTGGTTATTTTTTGATTAATAGATTAATAATCAGATAGCCAAAGGTTTCTTAAAGAAGACTTAAAGAACCAGGTGAAACTAAAACTTCTCCACTTGAGGAGTTCTGGGTAGAGCATAGTGACAGATGAAAGGATTTTTATTTATTTATCTTAATTTGTTTTCTTTTACAATTTTGGTATAGTTGCTGCTCTAATTGGGTTGCTGTGTCAGATAAAGACATGCTTTAGAGTCTCTACAATCCAATTAATGATTCATTGATTACTAAATTAGTTGAAAATTATTTCAATAATCGATTAATCATGATTAATCTGATTAATTGTTACAGTCCTAATATAATTCTTCAATTGTTTGCTAGCTTGAACCCATTTAACATTAAAGTCGATTGACGTTACATCCACAGAACAGCGAAGAAACTTCTGACCCGAAGTACATTCAGGAAAATAGGCAACAGGCTTATAGATACATCAGCCCTGAAATACAGGGGTGTCAGTCTGCTCATCAAACGTTTTTCATTCATAAAGGGTCAAATTATTAAAAGATATTTTTCACTAGAAACTTACAAAATGTCTGTTTAGGACATTTCTGTTATTTCAATTTAAACTAACAAATGATAACACTATTTGTCACTGATTGACGTTCCAGATTTTATGTAGTTTTATGTGTTTTGCTGTATAAGGCAATTATTTTCTGTTATTTTGAATAATTTTTAAAAGTTTCTAAAGTATTATGTTGTGGGCAGTCTTGGTAGTTATCAAAATTGTATCATATCAACTGAAATTAAAAAATATATTGTATCATCCAGCTGTAATTTAGATTAATTCTTTTACTACCGGTAATAATTTTCTGGGTTTTGTCTTATGATCTGAATTTGCTGGGACAATTGTGCAGATAAAAATAAAAAATAAAAACACTAAACCTTCCTAAATAATAATCTGCAGGATTTTATGCTACACATAAAGGTTAAAGAATTTCAGGAATTCTATCCACTTTCTTTTTTTTTTGTTTTCCCCTTCATCGCTTTCGAAGCTTGTGCATCAACAGGGTTGACTGCAAACAGACTTTACTGTGTGAATATCTTATAAGCATGCAAAAATTTAATTGTCAAACTTGTACTGTAATGAAAAGAAATCTGCCCTCCAACAGCTTTTGAGATATAAACATTGGACACAATAATAATCCAATAACTATGCAGACCCGTTGTGAATTAAGGGTTTGCAAAATAATCGTCATGACGATGCATCGCGATTCAAATTTTTGTGATCTACTGCATCGATTGTTGAAGGCAAGAATCGATTATAAAAAATAAAAAAAATGAACAAATAAAATACATTAATGGTTGGCTCACACCAGCCAAATCAAGTGGAATACAACTTCCAGTCCAACAGATGTCCCTGCGGATGTGTTGACACCCTTTGCTTTGTGTCACAAGCATGTCCGGCCGCGGGATACTGAGACGAGTCATTCATAAACAAAATATGGAGGAGACTGAGAAAATTCGCCCTCCGGCTCCATCACATTTCAGATGCTTGGATGCATTCTGGCTTTAAAAACAAAGAAGGTAAAAATAAAATTGATATGATGCACGTAATTTGCAAAAGGACCACTGAGGGCATGTAAACGGCACTGATTATCCTTATTTTGTTATTTTAAGTTTGATGAATCCTAAGATCTTTTTGTCAGTGTGTCCACGCCAGTTATAGTAATATTTCTGTCCACTATTTGTTTTCATGGCAACATCTCCAAAATTTGTTTCAATAAATACAGCTATGTATGAATTCAGTTGCTTTCAGTTATGTATCAATTGAAGACACTATCCAGATCACACACAGCCAGTCAGCCACTGGTAATGGCTGTATCTTTTTCTTACAGTGTTCAGTGAAAATATCGCAATGCATCGCAATATTTCAAGTATCGTGATTAGGGATGGGAATCGAAAACCGGTTCCTGTTCAGAACCGGTTCCCTATTTTCCGATTCCATGGCATCGTTTGGCAGCTCGCTGAACGATTCTTTTTTCGATTCCCGCAGCACCAGAGCCTAGAGCGTCGGCTCTGGGGAGCACGACTTACGTCACGTTTTCTACGTAAGTTACGCAAGTTACGTAAGTTACGCAAGTTACGCAAGTTGGAAGAACTATTCGAG